GACGATATGCAACTATCTGTCAGGTGCCATTCATTAATGAAGGCCTGGATGGCTGGCCAAGGTGAAGGGAAAGTACTGTGGGAGGATCTAGCACACTGGAGTGCGTGGTGTAGTCGGGGAGGCTGCCAGATTCCCAGCCCACCGCTTCTACAGCAGGGGACAGAGGTCACGAACTACTGTAGTTCTTTACACCAGTGTCCCTACGGCTACTGTAGAATGGTACCCTTAAGCTGGAGAAGCTCAACTGCATGCCATGCTAATCTTTAGCTACAATTAGTACTGACCATGGAGTTGTTCAGATAACACAAGGATGACTGGAATCTTGCTTCTGCTTAATTCTGTAAAACATTTTTGTTGTAAGGCCCTTAAAGGGCTGAAGCAAACACAAATGTTGTAGACACATGGTTAGCACTCTAACGTATGCATTAGCAGATCATGAATTCCATAGAAAGGCCTGTGTTGTTCCATTTAAAATGATCAAAAATTTCATCATGTTCTTAATCTGGGGTCAGATGTACCTCGTGGTACAGTTAAGGCCCTCAGCAAAGCCCTGACAAAGTGAACTGGCCTCCTACATGTGCTTTTCTTCGACAGCTGCTCCTCTATTCCATCTCATCCACAATAATGCTCTCTGTGTGAGGCCTAAGATACTTGGCACAGTCCCGTGTATATAAATTGACTTTGCTTCTCATGCTTTCTATAGAGACTTTATTAGCATTAGATTTATGTGCTATAAGAAGGGTTATACCTTTCCTTGTGCCTGGTAAGATAAGTAAATAAGGATGTGAAATATAAGCGGCATAGAAGGAGCAAAGTGTTCGCTTGGGGCCTGTGGAGGTTAAGCACATTGTTTTGTTTAAATTAAATACCGGATTTCAATATTTTACATTAAGTCAGTGTACCGTATAAGTGGTATTACGTACAGCGTGTGGTCTGAGGATCATTGGTGGTGCACCAGCCCTGTTTGGCTGCGTCAGCTGAACCTCTGACCAGCAAACATGATAGGCCCAACGGGCCCTGTTTGGTATCAGTGTAACTGACTGAATAACTGACTCCCCAAGGATACGCTTCTTGATTCATTAGGTGTCCCGTCAGCTTAAACGTCAGTGACCATCTTTAGGCCTATCTCATAGGTAAGGCATCAAAATTAGGTCTGCCTGTTTTGGACAAGAGAGCACTGATCTTCTTGACATGACTGTCTAGGCAAGTAATCATCTTGAAACAAGCCAAATCCCTGAGACGGAGGATGGGTTGAGCACAGAGAACAGCTAAGACAGTCAGATCTAAGACATACATGTGTAGACATTTCTCTCTGTATGTTGAAGTGCAGTTTTCAGGCTATCAAGGTGAATCTGGCATCTTAGACTTAGCAACAACCTAGATAGAATCCTAAAATGATACACACATTCATCAGATTTATGGTTCCAGTCCTTAAATGCTTAAAAAAAAAGTTTAATTGCCTTGATTCCTCATTATAATTTCCAACAATGCAACAAAAACTGCTTCTCCATATGACAAGACACTTCGCATTCCTGCATATCCAGCTGTCTGACAGGCATAGTGATGACACAGGTGGGGACAGGTTTCCGTTTTTCCAAATGATCCAGGCATCTCTCTGTCTCCTCCGAGGAGCATCTATCCTCCATCACTGTCAGTCATTGGCCCAGTGGGACGCTTGTGGTTTATTGCCACGGACCTTTTCCACTTCAGTCATTAACGAGCCTTGTAAATGAACTTGTGCTTATGGACAAAACGTTTCAGAATGACTCATTCCAAACCCTAATGCAATCTCGAGTTACATATCACTAAACCAGGACACCTAGACGCCCCTGGCCACAAACATCCGGAAGCTTTACGATGTAATTCATCAAATGGCAGTTCCACAAGGGTCAATACAGTTTTGGAAGGGGTGGGGAGGAAGGATTTGGGGGGGGACAACGATTTCTCAACTAAGTGAAAAAACAAGTGGTGCTGAAGGCAGGGCCCGGTGTGGATGCACTGGATAAATCCATCAGGAACGCTGACAGCCAGCCATCAGCAGGTACGCATCTGCATCCTGTGGCCTGGGGCTCACGGCTTTTTATTGCTTTTCATTGCTTACTTTGGATCGAGGTGGACTTACTACTACAGGAGTACACCTGGCTCTTAAATCACATCTTCCTCGGTTAGTGAGGTGATTACTACATCGCAAAAGGTACGTTATGTCCGTGATTGAGTAGCGTGGCAAAAGTGAACGCTGGGCATCACCTGTAAAACATTGGATATGTGGTTAATGGTCCAACTTTGAAGTACCCCAAATGCCTTTTTTCCTTTTTTGATTAAACTGCTTGGGTATTCCTCGTTCCACTTTAACTTAATTAGACCACATAAATCCTTGTACGTTCTTAACTTTCAGGTACGATGTCCATTCGGGCAAAGTGCATCATTTCTCTCTCTTGCCTATATTGAACTTCCTTATAAATGTGCCATACCTTTAACTCATTAGAGCAAACAAACGCTTCTCCAGCTGTCCCTGGTCTCTCTCGGAGTGCGTGATTGTTAGCGTGAGGCTGCAGATGTCTGAGAGCAACTGGCATCTGTCCCTCTGCCTCTTCTTCATGGTGTTTTCCCTGATCTTTTAACCCAGGTCCCCTGCAGACAGCACGGATATGGGGAATCCTGCAGGCTAAGAAGAGCTATGTGTGTCTCCCTGCGGAGTGTGCTGTGCCCCAGAGGAGCTTCCCATTTTCTCACACTCACTTCCTCACCTGTCAGCCTGGGAATGTGCTGGCAGTTGCGGGCGCTAGCAGGACGCAGACGCCTCTTCCCGCGCGACAGATGTAACAGCACTCAGCCGCGTCGCTGCTGTTCCTGTTTATCACGCCCTGCTCGTTCTTAACTGGCAGAGGAGAGAGCGAGGAAAGTCAAACGTACAAGAAAACAAATCAATCATGTTGATGCTGGACGTGATTCATGATATGGGTCCTGCTGCACACAGCACACAGGGAGGAGGGGATGCTGTCCACTCAACACCTGTTATCACTGATGCATCAACTAAAAGTAGTAATCAACTGGTGAGTTGAATCGGGCGTTTTGAGCAGGGATCTCACCAAAGTGTGCTGGGCACTCATATTGTAGTGCTTGGATCCCTAAAACAAGTATTCAGTACCCTTGCTTAAACACTGCAGATACAAATTTGTTTGGTACAGATTTTTAACATAGATCTGCCCCACCTTGCGTTTGGTTCACACCACTTGGCAGGGCAGAGATGTGACCCACCCCTGGCATTCAGGCTTAATTCCCAAGCTGTAACTGCTACACCCCAACACCAAGGCTAGGAGTCCTTGACAATACAGTTGGCCATATTCTGATCAGGACAGTAGGCAGGTCAGGTTTCTACATGATGGAATGGCAAATGCTTGACCATGTACAACCAGTAGACTTGATTCCACCTGTTCTGAGTTTTGTGAGGATGTCTGGATACAGTAGTTCCACTGTGGCAGTGGATGGAATGAATCTGATGTGTCCCAATCTACCATCCTGTAGACCTCCAACCTTTATCTAACACACCTGATCCAGGTAATTAAGGTCTTGAGGGTCATCTGAATATTAGATGCAGGTGTGCAGATCTTCAGGACGAGGATTGAGTACCCCTGACTTAAGTCATTAGTTCTCAGTCCAGTTCTAGGAATCTGCTGCCCAGTATGTTTAAAAGTCTACTTCATGACACCTAATCCTTGACACTCATGAAGGCCATGATAATTACCTGCTGAGTTGGATTAGGTATGTTGGGGTACTTGAAACTGTGGGTCCCCAGGAATAGAGTGTGGACCCTCTGGCTTACGTGACAGCAACAAATCCTGCCCCCTCATACCTCTCAGACATGATTCATCATCTTGTGGTTAGTGCATCATTCTTTGTAACACTGTTTTTGGTGGTTGAACTTGTAAAATGAGGCCAGTAGTTCAAAGCTTGGCAGTGGTAGCACCAACAGAGAAGATGGTCCTTCCTAAACTAGGAATTATCTGCAACTCAATCAGAAGGAAGCAAAACCTTGCAAAACTACTTGCATGGATTTGAAACTTAAAACCAAAGTCTGTAGGATCTCTGCAAAACTCACAAAGACAAGGCCAAATTGACAGCACATCCAGAAGTATATTATGTCAGCAGAATTGGGGAGAGCAATGTTATTGCTCCAAGACCTTTAATCTCCCACAACCCTCTGTTCATTTCTGTGCATGTCCCACCTGGTTGCCATGGCTGCTGTCCAGCTCACAGCAGGAAAGGAAGTGGATCTCGGCAGTTCTCATTTCGCCCTCTTCTGGCCGGAAGTGAGGACCCGCTCCAATTAGCCATGCTGTCAAAACATTCATGTGCTAGTCCGTTCTCCGTGCTGTAAAACTATTTGCTTTTTTTTGGTCAAATTGATGTTACATAACACAACATCTCGCTCCAATAATGAGGGTGGAACACTTGTGTTTGAGAGAGAGCCGAGGTTAAAAAACAAGGAGGGTTTCCCACACAAACAAGCAGGAAAAGCAGCATTTGTCCAAAGCATGCAACCGAAAAAGACTGACAGCATCTATCTTTAGTCTGAGCACAGTCTAAAACGCTTCAGCTGTGAAAAACGCTGGTTGCTTATAAGTTGTGCACCATGGTTGTTTTGTTTCGTGGCCAAAGACTGTTGAGAAGCAGCTTTAATCTCAAGCTCTTCACACATCCACAAAAGCAAGATTCAGTTTACTGAACTACTGAACATTGACAGTGATCTCCTACCTGGCACCAGCATGCCGTGGGCTGAAAAATGACCTGAACAAGTCCAGAACCTTTCGCCTCTCACTGTTAAGCTCTCGGAAAGTTCAAATCGTCAGACTTTGTATGTATTTAATGATTGAATTATAAGAGATTATGCTTTGAGACTAAGCAGATTCTGTCCTATTTGGAGTCCAACAAATGCCTTTAAGCCTTTTTTGTGAAATAATACAGCTAAACATATAAAGCAAGCACCTTTATTTGTTTTAACAGATACATAGATTTGATATTGTACATTTTTTCGCTAATGTGCTGTATTATACACAAACTAACAGAGGTTAAAAAAGGCAACTGTTAATGGAAACAATGGCAAGTATACAATGCAATTAGCAAACATATCAAAATCAGTTTTTACAACATTTTTTTTAGCAACCAATTCTTTCTATTGGTCTGCCATAGTGCAAACTGTGTGGTTTGAAGACAGAGAGTTAAGTGACGCGGTATTAACATTCATACTTATTTTCAAAAGTTCTCTGTCTTTAACACATTTCAACATATAGACTGCATTCAAAGTGCCACTGGTTCAAGTCCTCCTGTCCAGTAATACTGATTTTCAATAACAGTTCAAGTGTATAGGGCATTTCGAACAGCTGAATAATGAAAAGAGTTACACAGTTAACAATTATATCAGATTGCGCAGTGTGTTCTGTGTTTTATGGTACATGAAGGCTTGTTTCAGGTTGCCTAACTCTTCCGACAGGTTTTCAAGCTTCATTTTTTTTGTGTTAAGTGTCCTTGAGTCCCTCTCTGTTGCTCTTGGATACTTTACTTAAACAAGCTCACTGATATTGTTGCACAGCTGTTGTAGCAAGAAGAGAACTAAATGGATATTGTGGAGAGCGTTTGTGTAATATGACATTTGTTTGCTTCGATGACTGTACTGAGAGCGAGAGAGAGATAGAGAGAGAGAGAGAGAGAGAGAGAGAAAGAGAGCGAGACAGGGAGTGTATAAATGACAGTTGAATTCATAACATCAAACAGATGAATGCTTGTCAGAGAATGCCGTAATTTAAGCTTGCTGTCCATTCCCAAGTCCAACCAGCATGACATTCCTCCAGTACATCCATGTAACCTCTGACCCCTGTGGCCGAGATATAAAGATTTAGGGTAAAGAAGAATGAAAAGAAGTCAGTGAAAGTGAAGCGGTGCTCTGTGAACGGATGAGCATCCTTGCTGCTACTCTGGTTCTATTGCACAGTGTTCTTTTTCTTTCGCGGAAAGCACTGATAACGGTTGATGGGTGTTGTGGTGGGACGTCCGGGGGGAACGGGGGTTTTGAGACGGATCGAGTCCTGCCTGGGGGCGGCCTCACGAGCAGCCGCAGCGGTCCACCACCATGGAGGGGATCTTGCCGTAGATGATCTGCTCTTTGCCATTGAAGTAAAGCATGTTGATGGGGGACATCTTGGTGGGGGTGCAGCATGGGCCGGCGGTGCCGCGGGGGTTGGCCTTGTTCACCAGGTGGGTGTGCGGGTACTTCTGCAGGTGCATGTAGTCACACTCCCCCGAGCAGTAATTGGCCTTGTAGCGTTTCGGAGCAATAATCCAGTCCCAGCCGAAGTCTTCAAAGTCCACGGTGAGGGGATACCGGCAACAGCGGGACTCCGACGAATTCTCGTCACAGTCCAGTCCTGACTCTCTCCTGGATCGCTTGGGACCCTCTGAGATTTTGACTTCCATGAAGGGTAACTGTCATTGAAAAAGGAGAGGTGTGATTCTTTGAAAAAGTGTAAAAAGGTTCACAGACAATAAAGGAGAAGACCTTCTAGCACTCGCAACATTATTACCTATCAATCTACTGTTAAACTTAGTCTATTCAAAGTAGTTAACAACAAATTTGACCAATACATTCATATTAAATTTGCTCCAGAGAGTCTGATATAACAGCATAACCCTTTAAACTCTAGACTTAAAGTTAACTCTAAACAGTTATTGCTCTTATTAAGGCTTATTATACAGCACTACACATTATTCAGTAACTGCTCTATGACTGCTATTCCAGTTTTGTAGTTATGTGATAGAGGAATAGAAAAACCCACCAACAGATCCTCCATTCATATACAGTCATTATTTACACGCATCATTTATCTGCTCTAAGTTGACCATTCAAAATGACACTTTAAGGGAAGCTAAAGCAACTTACCAGGCCCTCTTCGCCCACCTCGGCTGAGGTAACAGCCAAATCGTTCCCTTTCGTGTCGTAGGCATTTATCTCGATCCCCGAGTTTGTCTCGGGCTGCCTCAGCCACACGGTGAGCACCTGCTTTACATCAATGCTCTGCCAAGACGTGACCCCAGCGTTCACATCAATCTTCAGTGACCTTATTCTTATGTGCCTCCTTCCATCTGTGACGGGCATCAGGCGTGAGATCTGCAGGAAGACGGTGGTGGCTTCCTCCGCCGCGCGCAAATGCACCCACAGCTGCGCCCTCACGATGCGATTCGCTTGGATCTTCGGACTGAAGGAGAAGAAACAGCATTTTGGTTTTCGGTCTACTTGAACGATGGGGTCGGCTAGAAAATGAGAGATAAAAAAGAAGACGGTTAGGCAAACAGGAGAATTGCGCTCACAGACCATTGAAAAGGTTTAAATAAAATAAAAGTTTCCTCTCGAGCCCTCAGAAAACATCTGACATTACAGAGCCAGCTGCTATGCTACGTTTATCATTTGAATTGAGACACATTTCTAGCAGTAATTAGACCACATAGGCGCTTTTCTGGGGGCTACATAATTCATTTGGACAGCATGTTTTAAGATGAGTCCGGTGCGCTTTTACGCGCTCCAGGGTCACCGTGCGTAAAGCCGCGATACATCGAGACAACGCGACTAACTTCCCACTCGCTTTAAGTGCGCAGAAAAGGCAACTTTTTACGCGTTCTCCTGTTCTTTTGTTGGCGTGTGTCTGCGGCGTAATGCATGGAAGCCTTCTTGCGCAAAGCCGTCTCGTGCCAAACGCGCTTCGGCCACCAAATTTGACTCAATATCTTTCAAAAAAAAGCACCGGTAAAAGGGCCACTCACGCTCCGTAGCCATAGTCATGATGGTCTCCGTCGTGGCGTGGTCGTCATCGTCGTCGTCGTCGATCACGCTGTCCTTGCTGTCGTCCCCGAGCACGTCGTACTGGTCCAGCAGCTGTTGCAGAGGGGGCGCCTTGGGCAGCAGTTGCTTGACCACGTCTCGGCTGATATTGGGGGCCTGCTTGAGGCGCAGCTTGCTCAGGATCTGGGACTTGATGGCGTGGAGCCGCATCATCTTGCTGTGCTGCCTGAACTCGCACGTGGAGCAGTGCGCCTCGCTCTCCTCCTCGGTGCGCGCGGCCGGCTGCTGCTGCTGCGTCGCCGCGAGCTCACTCTCCACCATTGGACCGAGGGCAACCAAGAAGCTGAGAGCGATCAAAACCTGCGCGAGATGCATGATCCGAGGCGTGGACGAGGGCTTTACGGCTGCTTGCTTTTTTTCTTTTTTTTGCGCTTTTTTTGCAGCGAGCGCGAACTGCGCCATGCACCGGGGCACCAGGCAGGTAGGTGGCATGCTTTAAACCCGCCAGGCCTTTTTATACTGCAACCCACGGCGCTGTCGTCCGGGGCTGCCATTGGCTGGGCCCGGCACCACTAAATCTAATGGACGGGAGCTGGACTTTGTGAAAAACCTTAAAGAGATAGGACTCCTGAAACGAGGCTCTCTTGAGACCTTAAGAACACGTGCGTGATGGGAAACTGCGGCTTTTGTTTCGCTGTTTTCGTGCACCAATCAAGCTCTGCAGTATTTGCATATGATGGGCGTTTGCACCAGTCCATATGCACAGGCCTCTGTGTGTATATTCCCCAAAACTTACTTGTTTGGTTCTTTTTCAATCCAGAAAATAGCAGAGTACAGGGAGCAGGTAAATGACAGTGTGTTAATACTTTGTTTCCCCTCACTGTTGAGCTCTTTTAGGCCCAGAGTAAAAAAAAATCTGAGATGTTCAGATCCAAACATAGTTCTGATGTTATATTAAACCTTTTGGGACTTCGTGAGCCGCTCTGTGGTGCACATGCGTCTCTTTACGTTTGCACACGACACATGAGACACGTTTATGGGACTGTTTTGTAGTGATTATATTACAAGCTTTTATAATATATGACTGGCTGCCATCTACTGGTTACATGAAGAAGTACAAGTAGAGCTTCAAACAGGCTTATATGGAATTAAGATGAGGAGAATAATAGAGAAATCTGGACGATTTGTCTCAGAGTTTATTGTGTCCAGACAAATTAAGCTCCTTTTTTTGGGGTTGGGGGTTGGGTTAGGGACAAAGTGGTAAACTATGCCTCGGCTACTTTACTGTTTGCTCTCTGGCTTAGCAGTGCATAAACCTGAGCATAGATGCCGAATAATAACTTGTACATGCATTACTGCTGTCATCACTGTTGATGCTGACTTGGTCATGGTGTGCTTGTTCAGCATTAAGAGGAGTAAGATGAACAGGGCAGTTAAAAGTCATACAGTCAGCTCTGTTTATTGATGTCCCCTGATGGAGCCAAAAGGGAGCTTTGAACTCAGTTGGTGGATAATGTTATATTAAGTTATAGCCTTGCAGGCTATAGATACAGTAACCAGACTACAGTTTTGTCCCTGAGTACACAAACAAACAAGCCAACAAATGCTAATGGTTAAGTCTTGGCAGCTTCCTTACCATATAACGCGAACATCATCTGGCATTACCTCTGGCTCTGTCAGTATTATGACCTTTATCCAGGAAAGTAAGCCAGTCTTTTTTATTCCCCCTTAAATGCATACTGTGGTTGTTTTTATGTGGGAGAATATTTGTCGTATTCCCCTTATCTTATTCAGCAAACAGCTAAGATGATTTTAATGTAACTTTTTTTACAAATCACTTTTACTACGGTAATCTGGGAATGTTGGTACTGGCGCTATATAAATAAATGTGACTTGACTTGACTTTTTGGTTTAGTCTCATCTTCATCTCAGATGTTTCTGAATCAAATCTCTGAAGATAAGCACAGAAAGCTATTACATCAAATGGTTGTGATTATGCTGCCTAATGCCTGAGACATTGTATTGCAATAGTACTGAGATAAGATTTTGGCCTAAAATGTATTATTTTAAATCCATTCATGGTGGATAGGTACACTATATGGTCAAATGTATGTGGACATCCCTTCTAATTATTGAGTTCAGGTGTTTCAGGTACACTCATTGCTAACAGGTCTATAAAATCAAGCACATAGCCATGCAATCTCTATAGACAAATATTGGCAGTAGATTGGGTCATCCTGAAGAGCTCACTGACCTTAAATGTGGCATTGTCATAGGATGCCACCTTTGCCACAAGTTAGTCTGTGAAGTTTCTGCCCTGCTAGATCTGCCCCAGTCAACTGTAAGTGCTATTAGTGTGAAAGTAAGTCTCTAGGAGAAACAACTGCTCAGCTAGGAAGTGGCAGACCACTCAAATTCACAGAATGGGACTGGCAAGTGCTAAAATGCATAGCAAGTAAAAATCCTCTGTTGCGTTACTCACTACAGACTTCCAAACTGCATCTGGAAGCAACATCAGAACTGTACATTGGGAGCTTAATGAAATAGGTCATGGCTGAGCAACAGCAAATAAGCCTAAGATCACTATGCGCACTGCCAAGTGGTGGCTGGAGTGGTTTAAAGCAGTCCGATAGACAAATCTGGTTTTGGTGGATGCCTTGAGAACACTACCAACCTGAAACCACCGTGCTAACAGTCATGTTTTTTGGAGGAGGGATGATGGTCTGGAGCTGTTTTTCAGGGCCTTCTTATCCAACATCAGTGCATCAGGGCACAAATTCCCACACACACTTTAAATTTCTATGGAAAGCCTTCCCAGAAGAGTGGAGGCTGTTTTAGCCTCAAAGGTGGGGGGTCAACTCCATATTAATGCCCATGTTTTTTGGAATGGGATGTCCAACAAGCTCAAATAGGTGTGTTGGTCAGGTGTCTACATACTTTTGGCCATATAATGTATAGACAGGCTGTTGTAAGGAAAAACAGTCCCCAAAGAAAACATATTTTTCCAGATTTACCATTATTTTACTGTTATCAACATTACATATTAAAACCTAGAAGACACATGTAGATAATAAAGTGGCCATATATGTGTTGTGGACATTGTTTCTAGTTTCTATCACTGTAACAGTAAAGAAATCTGAGATGGTAAGTTTCTCTACAATGAACCATTTCACATCAAACCACTCTGAATGACTCTCTACATCTCATCGAATGAATTATGCAGAAATTTTGAAAACTCTGTGGAAATCCCCTTTAAAGCAGGGGTTTAAAGCAAGTAAGAGTACTTACCTACAATCAACCTTTTTAATTGCGCTCAGTGGGTCATGAAGGTCAAGAACTAATCCTAGAACAGCACTTGACCATGACTAGTTTTATAAATATGGAGCCAAAACTAAAGCTGTTACTAAAAGGGCAATAAGGATGTACACTTTAGCCCCAGCTTTTTTATTATGCACGTTGTTTTTTCCATCTGATTTAAATAATTTTAAAGCTGCACCAAGTATGTTTTGGGGATTTTGCGACCTCTCTGGAGGAAATGTATAATTGCATGCAATGTGCATAAGAACATTCTGTAACGTGGGTTGTGCTTCAGATCCCTTTCCTGTCAGAACTCGGTGAAGGACATGTCTTCTGAGGATTTGAGTGAAGTATCTACTATTGTCATTATATCTTCATCAACATAATGTTGATTTTGCATTTGAGACCTAAACAACGAGCTGAAGCTTCTTTTTGAGCGTGTGTGTGTGACATTAATACGTAAAGATGTTTGACATGATTCAAAAAGTCCCGAGAAACCCAAGCCCAAACTTCTGTACTACAAATTGTCATCTCAGGCTTTACAGGGTGACTTGCAGCAGCACACATACAGCATACTGTACCATGTTAATTTCACTCTGAACCATCAGATTTGAGGGACCCCTTCAGCCTCTCAGATTTGCATCTTATTTATTCTAAACGCCAGTGGAATGTATTAATTTAGGGTGTCTGGAGAAACTTTAGCCTGATAGATAAAAATGTTCATCTAGCTACATGGATGGACTTTTATCATTGTTTACTTTGAGACGCTTAGTTGTAATAGTGTGCTAAAACTAACCCTGCTGTGTGGAGGTTGTACTTGAGCCTGACTAGCTCTCACTGTGAGTTATTTACATGCTTTAAAACAGTGATATATTTCTGCCACAAAGAGGGAGATTAAAAAGGGAGATTGAAATATTGTAGGTGTAAATTCTGGGACTTATACACTCAGAAATCGAGAAATAGTTTGGAAGAATGAAGTTATTTTCTTCGTCTTCAGCAAGAATTTAAATAAATGTCAATGTTAAATCTATTGAAATGTACAGATTTACATTTACAATATTTAACAGACACTCAGTGACTTACAAAACTGCTTTGTTGACCTATCAGAATATATATTCTAGCTAGAACAAGTAGATCAGAGTCCAAAGTACCCTTATGCTCAGACACTACCAGAAACAAAAGCTAGCCCTGATACCTAGAAAGAAAGATACAAACTACAACAATTAAGACAACAACAGAGCATAAATGCAATACAATACATTTCAATAAGTGCTGGATTAGTGTTAATTTAAGTGTGACACAAAGAGATGAGTCTTCGGTTGGCATTTGAAGACAGCAGGACAGCCAGTGGAAGATCGTTCCACCACCTGGGTGCCAGGACAGAGAACAGACCACACTGATATGTTAATATCTGATAGTAACCAGTAAGACATTTTACTTAAACCTCTTTGACTACATAAAAAATGGTGCATTTAATCCTGTGTCAGGTTGTGTCCTGTGCTCAGGGATGGATTTACAGGCAGAGCCAGTGGGGACGTGCCCAAGAGTCTCTGACTGCCAGGGTCCTCAGGGGGTCTTAGACCACAAGGCCCAAAGGTACTCAAATAATTGCGGCAGTCCACTGCAGATAAAAGCACTGGACGCAAGAATAGCCACTGAACATGTACAAAAGACTAAATTAATAAAATAAAACCAGAAATGTCATCTGATCTCAGGCCCTTCAGGTTTTCTGTCATCAGTGATTTTGTTGTTGCTTTTTAAACGAGATGTTTTACCCATCTACACATGTAGGAATACTTCTGCTTCTGCATTACGACTCAGTTTGGTTTAAAAGCAGAGGAGAAGAAATCTTTTCAGACTTTCTTTTGCTAGAATTTTGGGCTGCATGATATTATTCTGCACGTTGTGTGCAATGCATGCTGCAGCTGCAGAAATCCCTCCTCAACATTTCTACATTTGAATACAGTGTATATAAATCCGTCATATGAATAAACAGTGGGGTCCAAGTCTGAGACCACTAGTAATCTAATTTTGCATTCTTTTCTAATTTAATATAATGTTTTTCTTTACAAATGATATTTAAGTGAAAAGTGGAATCTTTGAAATATTTACGTGAATTTCAGAATTTCTTAGGAGTTGGTACTGTTTGCCCCCCTCTTTGCTTTAATAACAGCGTGCACTCGAGCTGGCATGGACACCACAAAATGATCAGAACAAATCCACCTGAAAGTCATCTGAACAGAAGCTTCAACAGAAGGAATGAGACCTAAAAATATAGTAAGTAATAAAGTAATAAAAAAGGTGTTAATATACTTAATATCACATATTTACTTAAAGTCAAATAGTCACCTAGAAACATTGCAGAAATATTTCTTCATTTTACTTGTCAGAACTTTTCTGTTTTTTTTTTTCAATGTAAAACTATTTTTTATTTTCAAGTTTAAATGAAAAAATATTCCCAGATTTTCGGTGTGGTTTTAGACTTTTGGACTTTTTTTTACAATTACATTTACAAACAAGATAGCTAGCTACGTTAAGTGAAAGAAGGGGCTTTTTTTTTTTTTCAATTCTACCCGCTAGTTAGGACTCCCCCAGTCACACGATGCTATCAACGCTAGGAGGGTGAAGGCTAACACAGGCTTCCTCCGAGACCTGTGAATTTTTTCGAACTGCCGCTCACGCAACGCCACTGGACAGCTGAACGCGCTCGGAGGAAAGCGCCAACAGCCAGATCTGTTACGTCAGCTAACAGACACCTGTGCTGACTAGCATCGCGTTGAGTGATGGGGGGAGAAGGGGGCCATCCCACCCACCCAGAGAGAGCGAGGCCAATTGTGCTCTTTTGGACTCCCAGGGGTTAATTTTAATTTAAATTGAATTGAAAACAGTAGTGAGCATGTCTATAATAAGAGCGTTAACTTTTTAAAGCAGTATTATGTGAGAATTGGTATTTTTGCTCTAGGGCTCCCCCTGCAGTTGCACAGTGATTTCACTTTTACAGCACTGTCTTAAATACAAATCGTGCTTTGAGCCCCCCCCTCATGGATACGTGCCTTTGCTGACAAGCTGAAGGATATGGAAATCCGACTCCTCTTCACATGCATGCCGGCATATTGATGCTACAGATTACACTCATGATTTCTGTGGTGCTTTGAGTAAATAACTGAAATCGCGAGTGTAATCTGCAGCGTCCATATGCCTGTGTGACGCATGTGCACGCGAAGGGGAGTAAGAATCTGCTGGCGAGGATTTCGGATTTTGGAATTCGGCACAACACCAGCAAAGACAACATTAGAAAAGAAAGAATCATGCTGACTTACAAGGTAGAGTAATATTACAGGATTTTATTACAGGAAGTTGCAAAGTTTTAACACTTATTTGGTGTGAGATTGACAAAGACTGACCAAACTTTCTGCCATAAGAATTTGTTTCTTCGCATGCTAGCCAGAAACAGAACTGAGGTTAGATGACTTTTGGCATCCAGAAAAACTACAAAACTCTTTGAGACAGTGATGACACAGATAAGGTTACAGTTAATGTTGCAATCTTTGATAAATAACATTGGCAGGGATGAACACTCTGCTCTTGGATTTCCATTGTTTTCCCATTAGTGGTTAGACTGTCTTGTGTCCTTTTATCTTCTTTAACTCTCGCCAACAAGTAAAAGCCAGTCTGAGAGTTACTCTTGTCCGATCTCTTGCTTGGTCACTCTTTTTTTTTTCTCTTCCTGCTATAGCAGTCATTCTGGGCCTGCAGTGGCAATGACAGAGATGCCTTTGTTCCTATTATAAAGCTGTTATTGTATGTCAAAATTGTTACATAATGTTGCTTTAAGTAACTGGTTTTGTTTGTTATGGTTTACTAGTGACCCTGGATATGTCCAAAACCGTGCCCAGTTCTCTATAGAGTGTTGTTTTGAATAGCCGAGGGGCTCGGACATTTCGTTTTTAAATGGTGAAGTGTGTAATAATTTGTCAGCCTTTTGTTGTTAACTGGTTTTGTTGTTAACTGGTATATTAGCTTACAGTGAAGCCCAAGTTGAAATCTGACAATGTTCGTGTAAACGTTGACTTGTGAACTTGACTCCTCAGATTTTCACTTCTGTGTAATGGTGTGTCATCATAAATGTCATTATAAAAATGACTCAACGATTGTAGGCCTGATCTCCAACGACAATGAGATGGGGTAGAGCCGGGGTTCGAGCAGGTAAATTACCAAACTGTGCTGGACACCAGCCCTCCAGGACCAGTTGTGCGGGGTGCACAACTGGTCCTGGAGGGCTGGTGTCCAGCACAGTTTGGTGATTTACCTGCTGGCCTACAGAGAGGAGGGCAGCCTCCTGACACACTGGTGGCAGGAGAACAAACTTTTTCTCAATGTCAACAAGGCCAAGGAGCTGATAGTGGACTTCAGGAAGCGGGAGAAACTGCACACCCCCATCACCATCAACAGGGCCATTGCAGAAAGGGTCAGCAGATTCAAGTTCCTCAGTGTTCAAATCACAGAGGAACTTGCATGGACCAAACACACCACACGGGTGGTGAAGAAGGCACAACAGCTCTTTTACCTTAGAAGGCTGAAGAGGTTTGGCATGAACCTCTGCATCCTCAGAACATTTTACACAGGTACTGTGGAGAGCATCTTAACAAGCTCCATCACCACCTGGTATGGGAACTGCACTACAAATAGCAGGAAAAATGCTGTTGTGTTCTTTGTAGAGGACGTGTTAACTCACTTTCACTTAGACAGACAAATAAACATCTTCTTTAATTAGGGGAGCTCAAACTTTTGCATACGACTGTATATCATCATAGCTCTCTACACTGACGCCAATCATGAATCCACAGCTTCCGTCTTCTATATTTTACTTGTGAAATAGTATTCTTGGGGCTGAGGAGAAGATGAAACAGTGAATGGTTAGAAATATGACTAAAATAAGATAAGATAATCCTTTATTAGTCCCACAACGGGGAAATTCACAGTGCTACGGCAGCAAAGTGAGAGCAAGGCACTCAAGAAAAGAAGTAACAAGTAGAGAATTAACAAGCAAGTAATTAACCTTGTTAATTACTTAACAGGGTTTTACAGTTTGTTACTTGTTTCTATATAGACAATATATATATATATATATATAATACTAAAAGTAAAAAGTGAGATAAAAATATGAACTCTATTCTTCACAAAAATTAACAATATAAGGAATTATAAATAAATATAAGCAAAAATATTTACACTGTAAGGATATTTTACCCAAATTTCACAGAGTATTGAACATGAGGTACTGATTTATATCACACATGGGATGGTGAGGAGATATTTTACAAGTATTCCACATGGAGTATTGATTATATTGCACACAGGAAATGGTGATGAATTCACAGTTTATGTTCTGTAGGTGTGTGAGGTCTAATGGGGGTGGAGGAGGGTTCTACTGGGAACAGTACTGGTCCAAAGTTCTACATAGAACCATCTACAACACATTCTCAATCAATCTAATGAACCATTTCACCATGCAAAGAACCCTTAAATCATGCAAAGGGTTCTTTGAGTGTTCACGGTTCTGTATAGAACCATTTTCTTTACTAAAGAACCCTTGAGGAGCAACCTTTTTAAGAATGTATGTTACAAAAATGTTCTTAATTTTTTAATATACGTTAATTTAAAGAGGTTTTATTAAAAGCAATATTGGAGCATTTCTACTGGTCCAATCTTCATGAAATTCTCACACAGTGTAAAGGACAGCTGCTGAGCTCAAATTAGGCAGAAAACTAAAAATCACAAAAATGGAGATCATTTTTGACGATATAATTAAAAATGGCTATGTTTGTGTTGTAGATATTGTTGCCCCCGGTTTCTAAAAATTGGTGGACTTCCCCTTCAGGCAGGCGCAGCATTCGGTGGGAAAACAAATGAAATGAGGCTGATATTACATAAATTGGGGTCAGTGTTTTGAACGCATCACTCTGATGTTCGCCAAAACGTGTCCCACTTCACCTCAATCCACTGTCATAAAAAACAGCTCCAGTCCGGCCGCCAGGTGGCGCGATTCTACAAATTAAAGTCTACCGCGGCGAGCAATGACCGTGGAAGCTGCAGTAACCCAGTTTTACAACGCGTCTCGCCAATATTTGTTTGGGGTGAAAGATTACTGGAGGGCTCCATGTTGCTCCCTAGGAGCGCGCACTAAAGGCGGTCAGACTTCAGCACGCGGCGCGCGTCTTCAGCAGGACCGACTGAAGTGACCGGTGTAACTGCGCCTGAAGGATCTGAGATAAACGCGCTCACTCACAGGCATGAAATAGAAACGTAATCACCATCTCCGGGATGCCTGGACTGCTGCAGTCACCAGCGTGAACTTTGGAGACTCCGATGGCCAAAGTGCGCCCTGAATTCAAACCGGAGACGCTGCAGTAAGTTTGTGGACGACTGCGAGCCGTGTGAGGAGAACCAAACCACACCTGAGGGCGAGAAGACCCAGACTGTCCTATTGATCCGGATTAGACATCGAAATTTCCCTCAAAGAAGTCTTTCCATGTAAATGGAGCCCGGATAAGGCGGGGACGCTGGTTCGTCTGGGTTTATAGCCTCTCCACAGCGTGCCTGCCTCAGTTATGGCAGCAGGTATGTGCCCTCTCTGACCATTTCAGATCAGATTTACTCTAGTCGGCTTTACGTTTCCCTCTGTGTTGTGTTTATGGACGAATATGCGCGCTAACATCTGGCCTGAACGCGGGATAACGACGAGGACATGCAGTAAAACACCATTAATGCGCGTACAGAGCTGCTTTCGCCCAGCTGACCTTGACGCTCTTTTATCACACGTGTTCCAGTTCGCACTCTTCGCCATATGAACAGCGCTCATTCTGACACGCACCGAGCTCACGGTGCTCTACTCATCACGTCCAAACCGCTCGAGCAGTGCGACCGTTTTAGCGATTCACCTGTTACAATATTAAAGGTGTACAGCTGCCCCGACTTCAGACTTCAGACTTCAGGGCGACTGTTCAGTAAATATGCAGCGTTCAGTAAATCACCAAACAACCTTAGGATGGACGGTGTTTATCAATTCATCAACAGCACGTACAGTGTGCAGTGTGTTACTAAATATGGAAGGTTCAGCAGATCACTGAACGACTTCAGGACGTTGAGTGTTCAGGAAACGAGTCACTAAAGTCACTAAACATTCTGTTATATAAAAGTCACTGAACACTGCATGACAGGGTTTTCAGCATTCACTAAATTAGAGACACTGCCATGTTAAGTATATATAAAAGAGTTATGATTACAATGTAGTGTTCTTAGAATGTGCAGTGTTCAGTATATCACTAACATTGGAATGTGCAGTATTCAGTAAATCACTAAATGACAGAACATGCAGTGTTCAGTAAATCACTAACATCAGAATGTGCAGTGTTTAGTAAATTTCCAAGTGACATTAGAATGTGTAGTGCTCAGTATATCACTAACATTGGAATGTGCAGTATTCAGTAAATCACTAAATGACAGAACATGCAGTGCTCAGTAAATCACTAACATTAGGATGTGCAGTGTTCAGTATATCACCAACATTGGAATGTGCAGTATTCAGTAAATCACTAAATGACAGAACATGCAGTGCTCAGTAAATCACTAACATTAGGATGTGCAGTGTTCAGTATATCACCAACATTGGAATGTGCAGTGTTCAGTAAATCACTAAATGACAGAATGTGCAGTGTTCAGTAAATCAATAAATGACAGAATGCAGTGTTCAGTAAACCATTAACAGCAGAATGTGCAGTGTTCAGTAAATCACTAAAGGACATTAGAATGTGCAGTGTTCAGTAAATCACTAAAGGACATTAGAATGTGCAGTGTTCAGTAAATCAATAAATGACAGAATGCAGTATTCAGTAAATCATTAACATCAGAATGTGCAGTGTTCAGTAAATCATTAACATCAGAATGTGCAGTGTTAAGTAAATCTCCAAATGACATTAGGATGTGCAGTGTTCAGTAAAACACTAACATTACAATGTGCATACATACATACATCATTTAAACCGCTTATCCTTCTGGGTCGCGGTGGGGTATTACAATGTGCAGTGTTCAGTAAATCACAAAGAGACAGAATATGCAGTGTTCAATAAATAATTAAAGAATACTATAATGTGCAGTGTTCAGTACATTTCCAAAGGACATTAGGATGTGCAGTGTTCAGTAAATCACTAACATTACAATGTGCAGTATTCAGTAAATCACTAACATCAGAATGTGCAGTGTTTAGTAAATCTCCAAATGACATTAGGATGTGCAGTGTTCAGTAAATCACTAACATCAGAATGTGCAGTGTTCAGTAAATCACTAACATCAGAATGTGCAGTGTTTAGTAAATCTCCAAATGACATTAGGATGTGCAGTATTCAGTAAATCACTAACATTACAATGTGCAGTGTTCAGTAAATCACAAAGTGACAGAATATGCAGTGTTCAGTAAATAATTAAAGGATACTATAATGTGCAGTGTTCAGTAAATTTCCAAATGACATTAGGATGTGCAGTATTCAGTAAATCACTAACATTACAATGTGCAGTGTTCAGTAAATCACAAAGTGACAGAATATGCAGTGTTCAGTAAATTTCCAAAGGACATTAGAATGTGCAGTGTTCAGTAAATCACTAAAGGACTTTAGAATGTGCAGTTCAGTAAAGCAGTAAGTGACAGAATGTGCAGTGTTCAGTAAATGACTAAACACGTCATGTTGAGTACGTCACCTAAAGGTAACAAGTGAATCTCAAAACATTGAAGTTTTACAGTGTTTACTGTTTCTAAATTAACATATAGTTTTCATTTAATCGCTGTGCATGTAAGAACAGTTTTACAGTAAACCACTAAAGGACATTAAAGTGTGCAGTTTTCAGTAAACTGCTTTGTGACATTATAATGTGCAGCGTTCACTAAATGCCGTTAGTGTTCACTGTCCAGTTCATTGCTAAACAGCCTGAGACCTGTAGTCAGTAATTCACTGAAGCGTTTAGAACACTCCAGTTTGGCAGTTTCCTCCTTTATTTACCCAGAGCCACATGCACACTGCATGTCAACTGATAAGAGTAGACATGCACACCTGTCCTCTGGAGTGTCCCACCTGTAGCTGAGCTAAAGCACATATTTAGATGTTTTAGTTGTAAAACTGCCTCTGTGGTGAGCTCCTGAGGACAACTCTGGAAAACAAATTTGAAAAAAATTAAACATGGTGACTGTGTATGTTTATGGTCATATAAAGGCCATAACATTTAGGCTATTTGATCAGATATGCTTATCTAGGTTTATAATATATCCTACAGAGCCCTATTATAATTGTTCTTCCACGCCATTATAAGATAAAAAGTATCTGTGTGTACCTGCACTTAGTGGTAATAAAAGTGCTTGACCACTGCAGTCCCTAAAGAACATATAAGAGGACATGGCGGTCTACACAATAAGGTCAGCTTCAACAAAGTGTGCAGCACTATGTCCTGTTTGCTCATAAGGCTCAGTTAGGTTTACTCTATGTAGTGTTTATAGTCTCCTGGTTTATGTTTCTGAGCTACATTCACATTACAAGCCTCAGATTTTTTGCTCAGATCTGATCTTTCTGCCTTGATGGTCCACATTTGCGTCAAGTGACACATTTATCATTAGTGTGAATGCATCTCTGCCCCATGCAGACATTTTTGCTGCCCACACTGGATGATGACCACCATGAAAAAAACATGAATTCTGACCTGACCGTTCTCCTTGTATTGCATGGCCACATTGGACGTCTCTCATTTAGGAGCAGAACTGAAAAGCCCTCTTCACACCTCGTATTAACATAAATCTTGGGTGTTCCTATCAAAAGCGGACAGTGCTAAGTACAGGTGTGAATGGGGTCCAGTGCATCTTGAACACGCACTGTGATCCAGATCATTTGCTCTGAGATCTCTCAGCTGTTCATTAATAGAGTAATGCGAAGGCAAAAAGGGTCAGATAGCTTTATCCTGCTTTATACTGCTTTATACTCTTTAAACAGTGGTGCATGCACTGTGTGAGGAAGAAAAAACCACATGCATTATGATCTGACCGTTCTCATTAAGGTTGCATGGCCATGAATTAGATATGTATCCGATCTGGGCCACATATGATCTGATCTGAATTTTTGATCTGAAAGATCTGCGTGTAAAATCATTTCTGTGTCATACTGAGGCAGAAAATCGCCGCTTCTACCTGGTAATCTGAACATAGCCATAGTGGCTCAGATCTGATGTTAAAAACATCAGATTTGAGTGTTCACACTGTTATGAAAAAAAACCACAAAAAACCCAAAAAACTAAAAAAAACAAACAAACAAAAAAAAACACATCTGTATCACATCTATGCACAAAATTGGTGCCGCTGGTGTAATTTGAACGTAGCCTCATTACACCTATCTAAGAAGTAGGGCTGAGACATTTTATTGCTGAAATGTTGCTCTTTAACTGGTCAGGAAACTTGTATGATTTTATTGAGATCTCTGCCAACCTGAAGATAAGATGTGAGATTACTGGGGTCTTTTGCTCAGGAGAAATATGTGAGCAGCAGGAGAGACTTAAACAATCAGGACCCATATTCACAAAGCTTCTCAGACTAGGAGAGCTGATCTAGGATCTGTTCCTGTCCATAAGGTCATAAAAATTAGAGAGGAATCTGATCCTAGATCAGTGCTCCTACTTTGACAAGCTTTGTGAATACAGGCCCTGAACTCATTGTTGTCTAGGAGGAACTACAGAGATATTAAGGAGATTTTATTTCTATATAGAAATTGCAATTTGAAAAATTGTGATTGCCATTTTCAAACAGCAAGAGTTGTATTTTTTTATAGCTTACATTATGAACAACACTGTTTTAAAGTAGGAAAATTTAACCTAATAACAAGGAGCTTGTGAACTGCCTGTAGATGAGTTTGGCCAATCAGAAGCAATCAAGTACATATGTGCTGTGTATATGACAACCACAGCTGTCAGTCTGACACAGTACGTTCCAGAAATATATTCTGGTCTTCTTGGCCAAAAATCAGGTCTGGGTCTTAATTTCTAGAAAATAATCTGAAAATATGATAAACTGAAATTAGTTGCGGACGAACACAGCACTTCTTACTGTTACCTAGTTCTTTGCATACTGTTTGTGCTTTGATCTATTGTATCACTGGATTCCTGACAGCAACAAGGACAGAGCTGCCAATACAGTCTGATAAATGACCGCCCTCAATAAGGGCCAATGTCAAAAGGTGTATTTATTTTGTCAAGTAAAGATCACTGACATTAATCACTGAAACTCTCCATCTTCTTCTGGCAGGGACACGTCCATGAGTGAGCTTCATGGGTCATCATCTGGACCACTTTGACAACGACTGGTGCTGCTGCTAGCCACAACATCTTTCACTATCCTCCCCATATCGGCTTTCAACCCAATGCTACATTATTCATATCATGGGATGCGTCAAATCCAAGCACAGCGATCCCACTCAGAACTCCGGCTCATCGGAGAGAGTGGACGGCAGGCCGGGAAAGAAGAGAGGGGAGAAGGCCGTGCTGGTATATGCAGAGACGGGCCCGGCCGAGGACTCGCCCCGGGTCAACCCGGTCTTGTTAGACTACGCCCAGAGGCTGTCCGAGGAAATTGTAGCGCGGGCCGTGCAGCAATGGGCCGAGGTGGACAGCCGCTACAGCGACATCCCCTACATCGAATGTGACCTGCCATGAAGGCCAGAAACAGTGTCATCAGACCACTCCAACAGAAGGCTTTCCTGTGGTCAGGAGAGCCACTGGGACTGACCAAAAGCAGGCCAGGGGAGTCAACTTGCAGGATTGCAAGAAGAAATACTGTTTGGTGATTGGACACCCTTTTGTAAACACATCATTCGTACAACTGTCTGCCTGGGAAATGGCATTGTGGCATTATTCTGGCCTGGTCAGCTTTTCAGTATAGTTGAGTCAGTATGTGACTTTGCAAAAGAAGCAAGAGAACTGCTATCAAAGCACCAGAATGCCTCTGTAATTGTTTTTCTTTTTTCATTTTCCTTATCAGTACGACGTGTCATATTCAGAGCACGGTCTTTTAATTGGCGAGCCAAGGCAAATGTGCAGAGGCCAAAATGACGCTGCTCCCAATGGCGCTATTAATAGGCCTTTCTCTTTGGTCTCTGCTTTTAGATCATAGTCTCTGTGTTTGCTTGGATCAGCACACAGAATCACAGATTTCATTGTCTTTGCAGTGGTATTAGGGAGCAGCAGGACAATGGAAAAAAGTAATGCGTTGAATTCACTTGGTGCAAATGTGTAAAACATTTCCACATGGATAAAATGTGTTGCATCAAACACAAGTAAACAAAGACAAAAGTGTGTTAAGTCATATATTTTATTCATGTGGAAATGATGTATAATGCTGTGCAAAGGCAACAGACCACCCACCATTTATTTCCAGCCAAAAGGGCCATCAACAACTAAATACACTATCAGATTTTTCAGTATTTAGTGTGTCCACCATTTGCCTTTATTACAGCTTCCTTTCATTTTCAGACCTGCTTTCAGTTTTTCCACACCTCCAAAGTTCAGTCTTAGAAGTTGGTTGCATTTTCTGCTTCTCATCGTCCAAGTAATCCCGAACACATTCAGTGATGTTGAAGTCTGGACTCTGGAGTGCCCAGTCCATTGTTCTGGGAACACCAGCAGCTTCTTTGTCTGATTTTCAAATGTTTGATCTGTTTGATGGTGGTCTACCAGGTCTTGGACAGTTGTTAGTAGTCTCATCGTTTAACGCCAATTTTGGAAACTCCTGTTTTTTCACTCATCTTTATTTGACTTTCCTCTTCTTTATGCAAGAGGATGATCTTATATTTAACCCCTTCAGAAATATCTTGCACTTAATGGTAATTTTGACCGGCAAGTACATATACGAAGGGAAGGGTGGTCTCTGCCTTTTGCACAGTACTGCACACTTTTGAACTGAATAAATTAAAAACATTTCTTTATTCATTGTGCTGGGATGATGCATTCTCAGTAATAGAGCAGGAAGCGTTTGCCAGACCCTTCACTGAAAAGATGCAGATGGCACATTTTTCATCATGTCGTTGCCCCTTTTGTGAGTAGGAGCGCTGGGATACTAAATTAAGGATCTCATGGACACTGAGACCAAATACTCTAAAGGGTGCGTTACTACAGCAGTGCAAACGTAAGCCATCAGGTACAGGATCTGCCCTGTGCCCCTATAACAAGAGGTAATACATTTAAAGGAATGAATTAGGGAAATATACAGCTGTAAGTAGATCTCTTTTAATTTGGTGTTTTACAGTCTGTGCAGATCAAATAATGCTTCTTATAGGTGGAGGAATCTCTTCTGCTGTCTTGCACAGATTGCTGCCGCTCAAAATATGCAAACCTCAGAGGCCATGCCATGTCAGAGGAATTCATGCCAACTTAAAAATAGCTTTGTGCTATTAAGACTGCCGAACTACTAGCTGAAACGCTTAGGTACGGGACCACAACAAGCCAGAGTCCTTAACGAGTGGTAATACAAGCACAATCCGCTCTTTTGAGTGGGATTTTAGGCAAGTTCTTAATGAAGTGTGCCATGATGACCTAAAGTTACCAATGTCCCTTTAAATCCAAATGATGTCTACACAAACCACAAGTGTTTTGAATCAAGAGAGGGCTGGGATTTGCTTAAGATATCTACTGGAATAATAACAAAAGTGATAGCCTGGTTGTTTCTGCAGGAGTAATAAGATGTCAATTTGAGGCCTTTTTGTACAAAACCAGACCAACAGCAAGTCCATTCCACTTTGGAACACACCTAGTAAATCCTGGTTAATCTCCAGGGGGTATTTCACAAAGCAGGATTACTCAGTTTAGCTAGATAACTTAAGCCAAATGTGTGGGTTGTCCAATAGAAATGCCTCTAAGTTTTCTTCTCCCGCTGAACAGGTTTGACTTAAGGCTTAGGTTATCTAGCTAACTGAGAAATCTTGCCTTGTGGAAGAACCCCCAGCACCAATCTCATTTTCAGCACTGTTTCAACAGTCAGCAGCTCTTATATTAAACTCTAATAACAGGTAAAGAACAAAGAAACTACCAGGTTAGCTGAATTATTTTTATTTTTTGTGGAAGGACACTACTGTGCTAGATAATACCAAGAAAGACCCCAACTGTCCATATGCTGTTTTTTGTCTTTTTGGCTTGTTTTTTCATATTCATTAACATAATTCAGTAAGGACTGCATTCTGATTATTAAAATTCCATCAATTTTTCAGAAACTTCAATCATTGCATAATTCAATTGTTAAGATATAAACAGAGTCATTCAGAGTGGCTTGACGTGAAATGGTTCATTGTAGAGAACCTTACTGATTCAGATTTCTCTACAGTGGTGCTGATAGGAACCAGCGGTCACAATGTCTGTAACACAAACATAGCTATTTTATTCACTCTCCATGTTGACAGTGTTGATAATGGAGAAATAGTGGTAGACTCAGACATAAGGCAGCATATTCATAACCATATCATGTAATAACTCTGTGTCTGGTTCACTAACAGTTCTCTAGGACTGAGCCTTTCACATGAAACCACTCTGAATGATTTTGTTGATGTCTTAATGATTTCATTAGGCCGAAATTTCAAAAGATTGGTGGAATTCCTCTTTAATGGTCTTGTACTGAGCTCTATGATTTCATCTACCTGATCAACAGGAAACCTTAGTATGCTTTTGCAGGTGTGTCAGACTGAAGCAGATGCTGTCGCTCCTGTCCGAAGGCTATCATTTCAGTTTACAGTAAGAAAACTCGGTGTTGTATCTGTGGTCAGCAGTGACTCAGCCTCACCTTTGTAAATAACGCAAAGAGAAAAAGAGAACATCAGTAAATGAAGTCAATGCAAAACAATGTGACACCAATAAATGAAGTCAATGCCTTCCGCTGAACTCTGCTGCCTCCTGCTTTCATTATTTGTTTACTGATTTCTTCATTGTCTCTCTCGCTCAGTCAGACACAAGGCGATTCAGTTAACAAAGAAGAAAGGTGCTAATAGTGTTACAAAACTATTCAAGGTGCTGAATTTTAAGCATGGAAAAAGTAAAAAGTTCTTTGTTTTGCAGTGCTTCTTGTTTTGCTGGTCCTGCTTGAGCGTTAGCCTTGGACACAGTGGACAGCAGGCCACTGTGCTGGCAACTCAATCATTAAATTAGCAGCTCTGTCGCCAGCCAGAGGAGACGTCTAATTGACTCTGTGGATCAACTCATTAATAAGCTTTCTGGACAGAAAGGATTCAAGACACAAGTTGGGAGACGTGGTTTTTTTTTCATCATAAAGAAATGGGCCACTTGATTTCCAAAGAAAGCACTGCATGAAATCACTTCTAAATTTGTCCAGTTAAGGGATTAAAGTGGAATTTCTGTGAAAACAAACTTAAAATATTACACAACAAACATTTAGTAATTTTCTGAATTATCCACAGAAAGGTCAGAATTATAGGCCAATCAGTTCAAACCCATGAAGGCGTTTATTTAAGGCATTTTTGTTCATATTTTCTATTAAAACTACTGGGTAACACTCGGCTGTTTGTGTAAATACAGTGTAATAAATAGCCAGTTGTTTATTTAATGTTCCAGCATTGTGGTTATTTAATCCAACTGCTTCATGGTTAATTTCACTCATTATGGAAGACAAATATTTACACACGTCACGGGTAAATTTGTTTTTATGGATATAAACCACAGTTCGGTCGTGTTAGTGCTGCTTTTCCCAGAAATAAACTTTGGGCTGTGGAAAATGACAGTGGCTCATTACCAAATTGCCTTGCTAAGAGGACACAGTATGAAAGAGAAAGAGCCCATTGCTAGAACTTTAGCTTTCTATTGTCCCGTATATACTAGCAAGGAGAAAAGACAAGACCTATGAAGTTCCACAATCCTCAGATACTTCGGGAAATCAGCATTATTTTTTAAACACTGGCTCAGCATATCTGCTCATCGTCTCAGAGGGGCTGTTCTGTAGCTCTGTGTGTTTGACATTTATTGCTCATATCAGCTCTTTTTTTACTCTACAAAAATATGACTGCTTTGATTTCTTCATAAATTCATGGACCATAAAGGGACTTTAAAAGGCTGTTTTTTCTGGTGTAGTTTTCACAGTCTGAGTTCTCTCTCTCCCAGAGATCTGAAGCTTTCTTCCACCAACTGCTCAGTGACTTCAGCCAGGGTCGAGGGCTTCCACTTAGGATTCTGGTCCTTATCAATTATCACTGCAATCAGATGAGAAGAAAATAGCACTTAATGACTCGAGCATGGTTTGCTTTAAAGGGCCCGTGTCCTACATCTGTGTGGTTGTATGTACCAAAAACATAATTCATTTTAATATGACTATCATCCAACATCCAACTCTTTATCTCTTGGAATTAATAAGGCTGTGTTGTTACTGTGCCTTTAAAACTGAATATATAGATGAGTTCTGTTTCTGATTCTGATTGGCTGCCATGTATTGTGCCTCATTGACAACACACTGCTTTTAATTTCAGCAAGTGTGGGTGTGGCTCAACTTCTGTAGGCTGAATTGGAAAATATATGCAAATGAGCTGTTTTTTCATGACTGAGCGATTTCGCTTGATGATCGGTGGGGTGGTGGGAGGATGAGATGAAACTTGCCGTTCTTTTTCTCCACCCCACCTCCAGTGCACATAATCATATCTGACTTGACTTTCAAAATCATATGATAAGGTGCTTAATATGACCAGTTGTTATTTCAGGTTGACTTTAAGTGTCTTCAGTGAGCTCTTGAATTAAAAACATTAAAGTAAGTAAAATGAGCTTACCTGCCCTCACCCCCTCGTAGAAGTCATGTCCTCTCTACAAAACACACCACAGTATTTACATTTGAAAGAGGTTAACAGATGGAAAGCACACTGAGAGAAATGTAGTGAGAACATGTTCTGAGTTGTTACATACCATACAGGCCTGGGAGAGCCTGTACTCCATCACTAAAACTTCCTGAAGGCTCATACTGGCTCCCATCTGCATCTGTCTGAAGGCCAGCTTCAACGAGGTTGGAGACATCTTAGCCAAAGTCTACAGCATCAAAACATACGAAGAAAAATCAGCCACAATTCTGCACTGTTTTCCTTTACCCCAAAACATATTCCATTAATGTAAGTAAGTACAAGTTATTCTTTTGTTTTTAAGCATTAGGAAAAAAAGACTTGGATGGATGGATGGATAGAATTTTGTGTGTCCACTATTTGTCTTTATTACAGCTTCTAGTCTTTTTTGGGAGACTTATTTTTTGTCTTTCAAAGAAATCTGCAGGGATTTTTTCCACACCTCTGAAGTTCAGTCTTAGAGGTTTATTGCACTTTCTGCTTTTCACAATGCATGTAATCCCAAAACACTTTCAGTTTCCTGACTCTGAGAACACCAGCAGCTGCTTGGTTTGATTTTCATTTTTTTGGCTTTTTTGTCTATTTCCTTTCCTCAGCTCTTCACAGCTACACATCCTTTCAGACCCATAGCACTGAGTCGTCTTCTCACAGTGGAAGGATGGACAGAAACACCTGTGGATTTTTCAGATCTGAAGCAAAAGCTTGATTTTCTCCTCTCTCTCAAAGATGAAAGCTTTGACCCCATTTACACCTGGTCTCTTCATGCATATTGAGTATCAGGATTATATCTGGATAAAGCCAGACCACATAAAAATGCAAGTATAAAAGCACCGAAGATGCATTTAAAACAGATACAAATCCAATCACTCGAACCACTTCAGGAGGTGGTCTGAGAAGCACTTGAGCCACAAATTATAGCAGTGTAAACACATCTGTCTCTGAGATGCTTTCGACAACCAACCCCCCCCCACACCCCTCCCCCGCCCCGCCCCAGTACAACCAAAACTCCTCCCCATGCAGTACGTCACTGGGCATGTGATCCGTGTCTGCAAGGAAGATAATCATGGAGGGCGTACATCATTGGGGACCAGACAAAATGAAACGCTTAATACCAATATGGACAGGCACCACTGTAAAAAACAAGCTGCAGACGAAGGGGCTGAACGAATAAACAAACCGTAATTGGTTGCGGCAAAACAAGCAGATTTGCATATTCTGTCCCACACTGCAATCAGATTTCAGTCCACTAACCAGACACGCATCTGACTACAAAATGTAAACGAATGTAGCTAAAAGTTTATCAGCATACAATCCAGATACTCCTCACACGGAGTGATCAGGTGTAAACAGGGTCTTTAAGTACTGTTTATTTGATGGGGACAGTTTTGGAGTCTACCAGATCTTGCATTATTGTTTGGAGTCCCATTTTCTCTGTAGCTTTTATTAATTTTTTCAGCTCCAGTTTTGTAAACTCCTGTTTTTTTAATTCAGTTTTTGACTTTCTCCTTCCTTATGCAAGTGGATTATCTTACATCTAATCTCCTCACAAGTATCTCCTAAAGTATAAAATGCACTTAATGGTAGTTTGGACTGGATGTTAAATAAATTAAAGGTGGTCTCTTACTTTTCCACAGAACTGTATTTGGGGTCTGCTTCTAAAGTTTTATTGAAAAAAGTGCCATAAAAATGAACAAAGGACATCAAGATGGCTGCTACTACTGTTTTTAGCTATGTACCAAACTTTTGTACACTTTTGTAGACAACAATGTGTCATACAGTGTCAGAATCCACATAAGAAGATCTATTTGAGATTACCTAGTAACTCTGAGGCAAGTGATGATTAAGGCATGAATAACTTGGGATGATGCTAATTGGTGGAGTATTAGCTTCACTACAGACACCAAACATGTCTGGCTGGTATATTACGTTTGAGGTAAGGGGAAAATTGTGTCATTTACATTTTTTGCAGATATATTTTTTGCTAATGGCATTAATTCATTTAGAGAGACATTCATACCCACAAAAACGCAATACTTTTTCCATAGATAGAATGGAATCACTTCTATTATTTTATTTATGAAAAAACAAAATATGACAGTTGCCTATCAAAATCCACTCATCACCACAGTAAACTAGAAACAGAATTTTTCATTAGCCTTAATGCTTATTCACACAAAATCACTGTCAAGTGCTTCTGATGCATTTTTAATTGAAGCTGGAAGAAAGGGAATTTCTCTCAATTATTCATGCGGCAACAGGACAACATGGAAGCACCGTCCAGTTGCAACTGCACTCCACAACATCCTGTGAGCTGTCTCCAGACTGACAAGCTCACGCTATAAAACACTTTGAGATGCGGGGCACATCAGAACGTCTCTGTAATACTGACTGACCCGTAATGCAATTGAAGGCCATTATGCAATGAGTGTTTGCACATGCAACGAGGGGCTTTCAGATGAAATAAGAGGCAACACCCATATCCACTACATCCAATACAGTGACAATCATCATCATTAACACTGTCATTGTCACTGTCATCATCATTATCCTCGTGTTTTACCCCTGTGCAGCAGTGGGAGAAAACAGCCCCTCTGTAAGTGGCAGCAGAAAAAGCCTAACCCTGTTAAAGGCTTATGTGCTGCTATCACTCCTGTAATGAGACACATAAAGACATCACACCCACACACTGTTCAATGGAGGCATGGACTGTACTTGGCTGGCGAGTGCTCTCGAGCCACGCTCAGACAGCGCTGTGAAACAGTCAAATCAGATTTCCCTGATTTACCTGATCAAATTGCTGGGGTTGAACACGTTACTGGCATGTAATCATTTGCTAAAGTGGCTGAGGATGAATGCAGTCCAAATTGGAATTGAAAAGATCTGCTTTGCTGTGATTGATTTTTGTCTGAACAAAGCCTAATGGAAACACTTTGTGAAAACTCATTTGCCGTGAAGCTACAATAACCTACAATAGTAGTAGCAGAGTCCAAAAAGCCCAAGAAAACAAGAGTGCAGTACTTTGAGCTGTGAGAGATTAAAGGCTGCAAAACATTCAAACGCAGATTGACTGCTGGATTTTATAACGCACAAGCCTGATCATTTATAATCCTAAAATATCATACGTTAGATGAAAATAGAGTAAAATGGAAAATGTCCACCTTAAGAACAATGCCCATTTACTTACAGCTACACCATATCTGTGAATGAGTTTATAATGCACATATACAGCACAACCAGGGGTAATAAACTGGAAGAGCAGTCAATTTAGATTTATTTATTTGATTAATCTTATGGCACAAAACCAAAAACCTTTAAAAGGGACTGTCCTAGATGATACCGCGACCCTATCTGGACTAAGCGGTTAAAGATGATGATAATGTTGATGTCCTAGATGATCAATTTCAAAGTGTTTAATTTATGTGTCAAATCTTTCCTGGTCTGAGCAGAGACAGTGCAATTAAACACTGAATATTATATTTTAAAATGAAATTTAGGCTTTTATCAGTTCATGTCTTAATGATTCCTCTTCACTTTAATAAGCCAAAGACGAACAACAGTAACACAGACACACTTAAGATTAATGAAAGAAATAGTTACTATAATATAATCACACAAAGCCATATTATTATTGTTATTAAGGGTGGGGGGAAAAATCGATTCAAAGATGCATCGCGATGCGGACGTGGAAGATTCTGAATCGATTCAAAGATGTCAAAAATCGAAACTGACTTCAGTTTCACGTGTTTTTAGTGTTTGACAGTTTCTCGTTGCAGATTAAATGCATCAGGAAACCAGCTGAAGTGATTTATGAATGCAAATAAGTCTATTTGTCTCCAAATTATGGATGTTCGTCTTAAATCTTTCTCTTTGCCTTTTCGTTAGCTACTAGCTAGGTGAACTAGCAGTTATATGCTACATTAATGCCAGCATTTAAGGTCATTTTTTGTTGAAACTGTGCGACCAGCAGAGCTTTATTTTACTGTAAATGAGGATTATTTTATTTTTACATAGAAATCTAACTGATGTGGAGCCACACCAGGCCAGTAAAAGAGCCGCAGGTTGCTGAACCCCTGAGCTAGCGTATGGAAGCTTCTGTGGAGCATATTACATGTTTCCACCCATTTTCCGCTCGGTTGTAGTTGCTGCCAACCAGAAGATCATCGATCAAGCGATGTCAAAGCTTCCGCCCAAATCGAAAAGGACGAAGCGAACTACAAACTCTATCCCAACTTTTATTGCCAAGGATTTGCATCCGTACTCAGTCGTTGAGAACCAGGGCTTTCGTGCTATGTTGCACACTTTGGAGCTGAGATATAGCGACCTCTCTACAACAAGACCAAAACCAAAGTAATAGAATCACTTAAGAAAACGTAATCTGCTGCATGGACACCACTGCCGAATCGTGAGGTGCCTAGAGATTGTTTTTATTATTAGCATTATTATTCAATGTCTACAGCGTTACAGTAGAGTGTTTAAACTGTTACATGGACCCAAATTTCTGTAAAGATGCTTTGTGACACCACACCCCATGTAAAAAGTGCTATACAAATAAATGTGAACTCAACCGAAGCTCTTAAAACACTTAAATCATTTGGATTTAGAGTGAAGGCCTTCATTTCGCATGACATGAGTTTTGGATAGGGCCAGTTTTTTCACTTGGTCTGCTAATGAATGAGAAAACAGAGAGTCAGCCCCTTAACCCACCTCGGCCTGCTTCTGTGCAAAATCAGAGCCGTCCTTCTGGAGGTTCTCCAGGATCTCCTCCACACTGCTGGCCTTGAAGAGCCTGCAAGACAGACAGGGCCACAAGCAGAGGACGGTAAGGCCTGTGCATACTAGGGATAGAACAGATATCAGTTTTAATGATGTAATGTGGTATAAAGCGCAGTAGCATTCATGTGTGTAAACGTGTTGTCTTGTGTTCACGTTTTGCTTGGAGACTGTAGCTATTTACGTCCACAGTTCCCTGAATTATTACAGTGTATTATGTACTATTATCATTTTTTTAAAAACTTACAGTGGAAGGCAAATATCTACACGGAAAACACGAACCAGGACAACATGTTTACATAGTAATAACTGGAACAAGTGTAAACAATTGTAGTGCTGATCTTAATTTCACATTTATTCAAACTGTAGTTCATTTTTGTGGTGTTCTAAAGAAATATAGGAGGTTCAATGCAATTCCATGAATTTAATCCCTTTGGTGAATTTCAGTGTTTTAGTGCTTTTAAATATTTCACTGTACCTTATGTCATGGCAATAATAATGAAAAAATATATACAACTGTGACAAATTTAGCCATCAACATCATGATAGGAAGTGTTCATTCTATCGTAACACGATGATTGTTTGTGCAATCGTATGCAAACGTTTGGGCTCCCCAGTCAATTGACGTTTTGTTGATTTTCTAAGTGAAAATAACAGTGAAAACACTTCTGAACACTTCAGTGCAAAATTACTGTCTATTTGCTGAATGTTACATATTGGAGAAAAAATGAAACATAAAATGTGGCCTGTGCAAAAGTTATGCTGCATTTTATACGGTATATTTTTTTAGCAAATAAACATTGTGCACTAAAATTTACAAAAAAAATGTCATATTTAAAGTTTGTTCCCTGACTGTACACATGAAACAGATACCTGGCGGATGTACTGATGAATGCAACTGCTCCCTTTGACCTTTGTGCACTGCGGTAAACTAACAGAACATGTCGAGCAGAATTAGTCATCCCACTTACACAGTGGAGTGGCTCCATAATGCATCATCGCTCCTTATATAACACTCTGCATGGGTCTGAGCCAAACAGGTAAATATAGAGTTTTGTTGCTCATTAATAATTTGTTCGGCTAAACACTCGAAACCCCCTGAAGCAGAGATGAGGCGATTGTCAGGCAGCGTGACAGAGCGGGATTTTGGAGCGCTGTCATCCCATCAGACGGAGCAGCAGTAGGCTGATCGCTGCTGATAATTTTGGTCCTTTGATCAGGCGTCTGATCTCCAGAAGGAATGAACTGTGTTTTATGACCGAAACTTCTCGTGAAGTGTCCTGGTTTAACCTTCAGAACCTGCAGTTACTGCCTGTGATTACAACATGACTTCTTACTCATTGTTCACTGAAACACTGCAATAAGCTGAGAAATTCAGTTTCTGATCCTACTTTCAAATGGTACAGCTGTATGCAAAAGTTTGGGCACCCCTGGTCAAATGACATGCTGTTGTCGATTTTCTAAGTGTAAATACGTTACAACATCCTCAACAGAGAACACTAGTCTGCATGTTTTAATGCACAATTACTATTTATTTGCTCAATTTAACATATTGGAAAAAATTAAACATAAAATGTGGACTGTGCAAAAGTTATGGCACATTTTATGTTTAATTATTCCCAATATATTAAGCTCAGCCAATAAATAGAAATAATGCACTAAAATTTGCAGAAAAATGCGATGTTTAGGTCTGTAGAGAATGTTTTCACTTAGAAAATCAACAAAGTGGTGTTTACACTTTTGCATATGACTGTATGTGTTCATAAGCAGACATTTTATTAATCTGACTTGAAACTGTCAATCCTGAATGTAAATTGAATGTAAATGTAATTTCATTGTGTAACTATGTAATGAACTATAGAACTAATTATGCCAACGTAACTACTTAGTTACATTTAAATAGTACAGCAAAACACCAGTAGTAACTCTAGAGATCTAAATATCACCTTTAAAAGGGGAATTCCACTTATTTTTCAACATTTCTACATAATTCATTGTGTCCTCGTAATGCAAACTAAAGTCATTTACAGCGATTTGACGTGAAATGGTTCATTGTATAGAATCTTACCAACAGTGGTGGTGAACGGAAGCAGGGGCCACAATGTCAAGGCCACAAATACGTTTTATTTAATATTCAAAACCTCCAGTGAGTTTTTATATGTGATGTTGATGGTAAAACAGCAAATATGAAAAAATAATTTTTCTTTGGGTACAGTTTTGCCTTGCAACCCCCTGCATGTACCTCTGTCAACTGAATTAAAAAAAAAAAACTATATGTCAGTCATAGGGCGGCGTATTCATAACCATTTCATGTAATAACTTTCTGTGAGGGAGCTTCTAGAAGCATTAAACTCTTCCGACATCTGTTTCCTATCACCACCACTGAACAATTCTGATTTGGTATGTTTCTCTAGAATGGGTCTTTTCACCATGAATGAGTTTGTTCACATTTTAAACATTTAATTATACAGAGCTTTTGAAAAGTCAACAGAATTTCCTTGTAAAAATCAAGTCTCTAGGACCCTTGATGTGTCAATATGTGTGTACGTGTAGGCTGCTAACAGGGACTGAGCACTAAATCAAGTTAAGGTGTGAAGATGGCTGACGTCGAGCCGCTTCTCGTCCTCAGATGATCTGTGCTCAGTGAGGCTGCAGTTTGACCATTACATATTTCTGTGTAAAGCCACACATAGTTAAAACCACACACGCCTTCCCTGCTGAGAGTGAAGATCCTGAGTTGTACACTGGTCACTGAAGTTTGAGGACACCAAGCTTTTTAATGCAATTCAGCATGTTTTTTTGGTCATTTTGTATTGACTGGACATTTTAACAATTTCACACGTAAATATTAGCAACAATAGTAGTGACAATGCCTCATTAAGGCTGCACATTTTATCCTCTTGTCATGTCAGTACTGAAATCTTTCAGGTGTTTAAGCCACCTGTAGGCCCAAAGAGTTTCAATATGTACTTTTAACAACAGAAAAGAAAACTGTCAAATCATTTATAAGACAAAACCTGTTTTTGTAGGTTTGGCTTAAGATATTCCTAAGAAAAAATTAAATTTCAAAAGAGGGCAAGGAACTTTTGATGGCCACTTTGGGAATTATATTAGCCAGTGTGCAAAGGTGGAAAAAAAGTATTTAGTTAAGCAAAAGTATGAGTACTTTGTCAACAATGCTGGGGTAGTTATTAACTCTTGTGTGGTGCTTATTTAAATCAATTCAGCCATAACAATTTATGTAAAAATACAGTGGTCAGCGTAGGGTTCTCCTTTAGCAGCTGTAGCCAGTCAGCAGCCTGTCCATGTTGTCCACCCTCACACACACACACACAAACACATACACACATATATATATATATATATATATATATATATATATATATATATATATATATATATATATATATATATACAAACACATACACAAACAGACACACGCAAACTAACAGCAGGCCATGTAGGAGGAGAACAGAGTGAAGGACACAGCACCTCCACACTTTTATTCTCTGCAGGTTCACCCAACACCACATGTGTAATATAAATGTGTGGAGGTGAACAGAGTGAAGGCACTGAAAATGTGTTATTTTATATGTTCTTCACAGAAAACGAGCAAAGGCCAAGAAATCTGATGTTGAAATAATAATAAATCACATCATTTTTTCTTTTGGTAAACATTGAAAATGGCTCCCACAGACCTGAACACCACACAAGGGATAAAAAAAAAGGAAATCCATTACGAATTACTAATTACTTCTCTCAAACTGTAATGGGATAACTTTGTTGATTATTTCTTGGAAAAAGTATATAATTACATTTGTGAATAGTTGATGCTGTTTGAAAACATAGAAACCTGCCAAATGCTTCAAGAACATTTGCCCCAAAATAAAACCTGTTTAGGTTGTTTAGCTGTGTTTAGGGCTCTCACTTTGAGGGTCTTTATCCATCTATTTTATATTAGCATGTTTAGATGCTTTGACAGACTGTCGATTCGCTAAGTTTACGGTGCTTCCCACCATAAATGTATGATTAAATGCATTTAGTGCATAACTAATACTGCTTTCTTAGAGAATATAATTAATGCAAGTAACATAATTCATATTAAGTAAGCAACTATAATGTGATACCAATAAACTGTAAATCACTGCACATTCATAACAGGAAAAAAGAATTACATTACTGTAACATGTTACTTTGTACCACATTACTACCAACACTGTTTGCCAAAATGACATTCAGTTAAACACGGAGGTTTGGAGCCAAATGTATACTTGAGAGAAGGTCAAAAAGTATCTACATTGAAACAACTCAAGTATGTAAAAGTAAAAAGAAAATGTCTTAACAAATAAATCAAAAGTTTGGTGGTGTGTGGTGCACAAAAAAAAATTGTGTGCAGTTTCATTAAAAATGATAAGAACAGTGTTGTTTTTATAAAAAACAATAAATTCAAATGTGCAGGGATTTATTATTGACTGGCAAGAGAAAAAAAATCTGGCCTTAAGGATTTGTAACAAATTCTTCTGAAGGTCAAAATAAAAATATAAGAAGTAAAAAGTATATTCTTTAAAAGTAAAAGGATTCAATTTCAGTAATATTCAAATAAGGACAATTACTCAAGGATTGTCCACCCTTGTTAGTGACAATCCAATGAAGAACAAAACCAAAAGCAGCTCACCTCCACCCTTTTAAAGCTCTCAGGACATTTGTTTAATATAGCGGAGAGTTTCACCTCTCTTAGTTTCCATTTGTAGAGGTGGATTATTTTTACATCATTAAAAGGTGATCTTTGGTTTCACTCTATTTCTGTGCAGCAATATAAGGAGAAAAGAGTGTGATTTATGGGAAGGACCAGAGTGGGGATGTGTTGAGGTCGGGAGAGGGTTTAACTTTACCTATCAATGGCTTCTGTGTGCTGCTGCAGGGCAAACGGCTTCTCTGCATCCAGGGTGCTCTGGGGACACGACACAATAGTCTCTGTTAAAGCCAAACTGAGTTATACGCAGGAATGTGCTTCCACAGTTCTCCCAAATTATCTGTGCTGCACTGTCCATATGAGCATGTGAGAGTGTGTGTGCGTTTTCCTTCTGTCTGCTTTGTCCTCTCGGGCACTATTTTACACTCCATTCAGCAGTTCTTAGTCTGAGTGTGAGGATGACAGACTGAACCAACCATGATCTGTGCCAGTGTGTGTCATGCTGAATACAAAATAGCTCCATCTACACCCACCCCCTCCACCCGTCGACAGGACAGAATCAGCAGACGCATTTCTGCTCTCACTGAGGCGGACACTCCGACGTACATACTTCGAAGAGAGGGTAAGACTGCTGATTGAGAAACAGCTCTTGCCCTTTACATCCAAACTAGCACTTTTACTTCAGTCTGTTTCTTCACAGCTCTGATTAAAGCACTAGTTTGGTCTAAAATTGAACAGGGCTGTATGTAAACCTTTTGAGTAGGTAATACTGGCGCTATACAAGTTGCACAAATTGTTTTTTTAGCCCAGAGACAAACACAATATAAAATGCTTAAAATGTATTAATCTCAAAAAGTGCAACATGGTGTCATTTTAACTGTGGCAAGTAAAAATGGTCATTGTGCAAATTGTGCAGAACTCATTTTTTTCCACAGTAACTCAGATTCCCCACGCTATTAGCACTCAAGTAGCGTTTTCGTGCATCTTTAAAAGCACAGAAACCCACACCAGCAGGAGTGCAGGTATGATTTGAGTGATAAATCATCACAGGAATATAACATGTGGATGTAATATGTATATAAAATGGAATTATGGTTTTTTTTATTATTATTTAAAGCAGCACTATGTAACATTTGGGGATTTGGAGACCTCTCTGGTGGAAATGTGTAATTGCATGCAATGTGCAATGAAACATTTTGTATCGACACTTGTGCTTTGTACCCACACTAAACACTTTTTTGGTCACTTTGTGTGACCTTTTGTTTACAAACATCTGGAAACGATCTCTAGTGTTCAGATTACCTGATAGACGACAACTACCATAACTTAACCTGTGTTGCAAGTCACACAACCTGTAAAACGCTGTTTGTAGTTAGAATACCATGCAAATTATTGACAACTTTCATGAGCGCTTGGACGTGGTAAAATATGTGAATGGAGATGTACACATATGTCATTGGCATGCCAATGTAAGCTTGCGTAATTCATATTTCTTACCATGTTTGACAGTATCACATCGTACAGCTCTGTCTAATGTATACAGTTTTCCCTCTTAACCCAAAATGTAGTTATTCATTCATTCAAGCTTGTTTCTTTAGTTTTGCACTATAGTTATGATGCTAATACAGCTAACAGGAATAAAAGGATCCATCTGTTAAAATCATCACTTGCCTCAAACCATGTCAGTTGTTAAGTACTTGCTTATAGCTTCTGACACTGTGTGACATACAGTTACCTATAAATATGGACATGACAAAAATAGGCTTATGGATGTTTTTTGTCTGTAAGTCATACAGTGTCAGAAACCACAAAAGCAAGTCTATTTGAGATTAATAAAACATTTGGCACCAAATATCTTGGCCGATACACTATATGTCTAAAAGTTTATACATATAGAGTCTATACAGATATTATATATAGAGTCTACTCTTCTAGGAAGGCTTTACAGTAGGTGTTGAACAATTGCTGTGAGGATTTGATTTGCAGCTAAAAGAGCATTAGTGAGGTCAGGTACTGATGTTGGATGACCAGTTCTGGATCACTCCAACTCATCCCAAAGGTGTTGGAGCTCCATCACTCCAGAGAACACAGCTCCACTGCTCCTCAGCCCAGTGGTGGGGGGCTTTATAGCTAATAGCTGATTCTTACCACTGGAGCATGGGGACCTCTGGCTCATGTACAGTTGTTCCACAGCGTCACATTCTACTGGTCAGTGTTTCCTGTGGAGATTATACAAGCTATGTGTGTGCAGTTAAATGCCTGTGTCAGCAACAGGTGCACCTTAGAGTACTAAGATCACTAATTAGAAGGGCTGTCTGGATACTTGTGTAGTGTAAATTTGGCAGAACCATCACAATATCATCCCATTTCCTTATATGTTAATTATCCCTTTGACTCAAGAATGTTAATTTGGGTTAATACATATGTTCTGGGTTGATTATCTATTATGAGAGAGGCACTATATACATTTTTATTGTTGCCACTATTATTACACAATTATATGAATAGAAACTAAGCTAGCACTCTTGTTTCAAAATGCATAATTAATATAAAATCTGGTCACCACCATATGATGCTAAAGTATCAGTATTCACATTCCTCTTGTACCTATCCGGGTATGAGAAAAGAAGATTGCAGTACTCAAAGGTATCAAACAACATAGAGGCTAAATAAAGTGCACCCTCAGACTGGCTCAGAACAGACGCTGGACTGGTTGAAATATGATAAAAGTGTATCGTGTTATAATTCTGGAAGGTTCAGAGCCGGTACTGTCTCCATCAGCAGAATGACGCAGAGCTTGTGTGAATGCTAATGTGTGCGTGAAAACCCCTATGCCCCCCCACCAGCCCCCCAGCTCCTCTGAAAGCTGTGTGACGTAGAATCTGACGTTATGAATCTGAATAATCCCAACTCAGACTGTCCTGTTCTGATGCTAGCACACATATAACTTTATGGCACTAATGACAAACTTACCATAAACTCTGCACAAGACACACAGCATAATAAGGCCAATAAAATAAGGCTGCAGTACTTTGAGCTCTGAAATAGCTAAACCACAACACACTGTTTCAGACATTAGAAATAACCATTAAAAGCCATTCATACTGAAGATCCATAGTAACAGTGTTACTATAACCCATCCTCTACAGGAAATAAATCTAAATATGGCATCTTTCTGCAAATTTTAGTGCAATATATAGTGTTTAATATATTGGGAAAAAATAAAACATGACTTTTGCACCTGCCACATTTTATGCTTGACCTTTTTCCATCAATATGTTAAATTCAGCAAATAAACCGTAATTGCATGTGACAATGTGCAGAAGTGTGTTCTCTGTAGAGGATGCGTGAACATATTTTCACAAAACATGTCATCTGACCAGGGGTGACCACACTTTTGGATAAGGCAATATGCTACCATTCAAAAGTTTGGAATCATTGCTTTCATTAAAAATAAAACCACTTTTGTTGCAAATACATGTAGACAATTGATTCTATTGATGCGCTGTATATATATATATATATAGAGAGAGAGAGAGAGAGAGATAGATATGTATGGAGGGAAATTCACTCGAAAGAGGCCCCGAATATTCTGCTGTAACTCATGTTAGGATGAAGCAATCTAAACCAAAAAATACACTACATACTTGACGTATATGTAATCAATTGCAAACGAAGGTTAAACGTCGCAACGGCTGTCCGGCGCCGACCTCATCACTCTGACGCAGGGGCATCCTGGCTTGTTCAGAGCTCCATATACTGAGGAGCACATTGCACATTGTTTTGTTCAGATCGCTTCATCCTCTTTCAGGCCTCTTTCAAGTGAATCTCCCTGTGTATGTGTGTATATGTATATATATATATATATATATATATTAAACAGCTTACAATACCTTCTAATAATTACTATGAAAAGTAATTCCAAACTTTTGAATGGTAGGGTACATCAGCAATTCACAATGGAGACATACAGAAACATACACTGCCCATCACAAGTTTGTGGACCCCTAGTTTTTAAAAAAGTCTTTACAAAAAGAGCATCTCTTCCTTAATGAAGCTCATTCCCTTTAGGTAAGATATTTTTAAAAGGTCAAGATTTTTACTTAGCATATCATAGGAATGACTTATTTTCTTTAAATATTAACTTAGTATGTCATAATAATGACTTAGTTTCTCCAAATACTGACTTACTATGTGAGAATAATGATTTACTTCAACCTTCAACATCAAGACTTAGCATACCACAATAATGACTTATTATTCTGAAATAATTACTTAAAATGTACAGAGTCACTGTTTTATAATACTAGATCAATTTTTCAAGACAAAAGCCATAAGTCATTTCGAGACATCAGGACAATATTTTCAGAAAATAAGTCATTATTTCAACATAAAAGGCAAAATAAAAAAAAGATAAAAATAAGTCATTACTGTGAGATACTAAGCCCTGGTCTGGGCTTCTAAACTTCAATCTTGGTTTGCAGTGACTGAACATATTAAACAGAAAGCTGTTCAGATCTTACCAAACTGCAAAACTTCAGAAACATCTGACAAAGGCCTTATCTTGGGAATGACGCCATTTTGTCCCCTTTGCCATCAGCACTCATCAGCACTCAAACCTTTCAGGCATTTAACCACATCTGGACCAAAAGAGTTTCAATATGTGATTCTAACAACAGTTCAGAAACAAAAACTGCCAAATCGTGATTTAGGCAAAACCTGCTCTTCATACCAAACATGATTTGATACATGTGAAGCTGAGTGTTGCAAAAAAATATACCCAATGTATTAACCCTTTTGTTGCCAAATGAAGGCTAAAGCAGAGAGCTAATAGCAGGTTTTACAGTGATCTGGCTGTGCTGTATTTCTGGGTTGTGTGACGTTAAGGCTGGTTTCTCACTCTGGCTAGTGATGAAAGGTTCCTCTGAGTGTTCTGATGTGTGAATCATGTCACTATTTTTAACCCTTTGTTTATTATATGAAGGCTAAAAGCAGAGCTGTAATATAACAGTAGTGACTGGGGTTTGGGTGATTTTGGAGCTGGATTGCTGGCTGATGGATGCTCAAAGGTCTGGATTGTGACAGCAGAGTCTGATGAGTGATCTGATGTGTGAATCACGTTGCTGTTTTAACCTTGTGTTGGAATATGAAGGCCAAAAAGCAGAGCAATAATATCAGGATTTTGGGTGATTTTCCGAGCCGAATTACTCACTGATGCTGACATCACAGCTTGATGACATCATGCTAACTAGTTAGGGACAGGTCTGCTGAATGTCCTGATATGTGTATCATGTCTGTAGCTTAAACCGTTCTGAAGTTATAAAGACTGTAAGTTACCTTTGGTTTTGCTTCGGGTCCTAATGGTTAAGACAAACCTCTCTTATAAAGTATTTGCAGATATTGTTCTTACGTCAGTGAAAATCTAACATACATTTCAAAAGATAAGGTGTCCCCAAAGTTTTGACAACCAGCGTCCTTCAGTATCACAGCAGTGGCCAGAACGTGGCAGTGAGAACACAGGCGGCAGAGCGTGGAGGCCTTAGGTGTGATCTGTTTGGGAAGTAAACAAATGGGCCTGTGTTACGTACCTGCTCCTGATAGGTGTTCAGGACTTGAGCCACGTCACCGACTGAGGGAGACTTCAGTTCCACCAGGTCCTTCTCAAGGGCACTAAGCTGCAAGCAGAGAGACCAATTCAACACTTCCTATTTGGACACAGCAAGAGCCAAATATGACAGTCTAGTGCTTATGTAACCCAAGCAAAGGGCCACAAATATACCAGAGAAACGAGCTTCATGCCAGAAAACAGAGTTCGCAGTTCTCTTTTCATGAACTAAATTCACTAAATTCATTGATGCTTATAGATTGGTTGTGTTTACACGGAACAGATTCATCAGTATGTTAATACAGTACCGTGCAGCAAATAAACAGAGATGGCACTGATCCCAAAATAGCACTCACTCACACTGTGTGATGTTAGCTGTGTAGTTCTTCCCGTGGAGTAGTGGAGTGATTCAGTAGTTTGAGCATAATAGGCCACTCATATTATGTGAACAGCTACAAATTAAAATAGCTCATTACAGAGCTTAAATTACATCATCTGGATTAATAAAATTATTTATTTGGGTGGAAAGTGCTTAAAGTGCATTGGCCATCAAATCAATCCTTCATTAAATTTAAAGGGGATTTCACCATTTTTTCACAATTTCTGTAAAATTAAATGGTAATTCTGAGTGGTCAACAGAAAGTTATTACATTAAATAGTTACGAATAAACTGCCTAATGTCTGAGACTTTGTTTTATGATAGTTTTGAAAAGGTTTCAAAGTTTATGGCTTTCAGTAGACCCCAATGAAAGCATATTTTTGCAGATTTATCACTGTTTTATTGTCATCAACACTACATATAAAAACTCAGAAGACGTGTAGGTTCACTAATGGTTTTGGATAGTAAATAAAATGCCTGTAAAGAAATTCAAGTTGGTTAGTTTCTCTACAATTTAAAATAATTCCACATCAAACCACTCTGAAACACTGGTGGAATTCCCTTATAAATTAAGTGTGCTGATTGGCTTTTTAACTGTTTTGACAGTATTACAGCCTTTCCTTACTTTTAACGCTCTAAATATAATTGCACTGTTTTATAATATGATTTTATAATACAACCAAAAAGGGGTCCTATCTTCCTCTGAACCTGAGCTGATATTTTTGTCTGCTGTGTACAACTCCTGCTGTTTCCTGTTAGCGGGCTGTCCTTGGACAGTGGACAGTTGTAGGCGTTGTCCTGCGCTGCCCTCTCTCTCTACATGGCAGTGCCAGTGCTTCAGCATAGGCACGGCCGCCTTAAGCTGGCACATGAGCTGGTTTAGATGCCAGGACCCGGCTACGTCCTGCTGCCCTGCCCACAGGCCACTAACCAAAAAAGATGCTGACTCAGTGATCCCGCCCCATTCCTTTGCCTAACTGCAACCAATTGAAGGCCAAACGCTGAAGTGGATGGCATTGTCCCTTTAAGGCATCTACTTAAAGGGTAATTCTGCTGATTTTTAAAATTTCTCTACAATTCAATCGTTGAGATGCAAACAAAGTCATCAAAGTAATTCAGAGTGGGTTGATGTGGAACGGTTCATTGTAGGGATTCCACTACTGGGCATCACAATGTCTACAAATGCTGACATTTTATATATTATCCAAAATGACCAGTGAACTTATATGTGTCTTCTGAGTTTTTATATATGTCGATAATGCTAAAGCGGTAGTAAAGCCAAAAAACACATTTTCCTTGGGTACTATTTTCGATGTACCTCACCTCACGATGCCCTGTACCCCTCCGCCATGAGTGTGTTAAAAGGATGTTTTAGGGCAAAAACTTATTCCAGGTATCTGTAAGTGGATTTGTAATTGTTTCATGCAGTAGCTTTTTGTGATGTCGCTTTTAGATGCATTAAATACTTCAGACATCTGGTTCCCATCAACACCACTGTTCTGACTCAATAAGATTCTCCACAATAGAACATTCAACATCAAACCACTCCGACTGTCTTTGTTTACATGTTAAGATTTAATTAAAAAAAAAACAGTGGAAGTCACCTTTAATTATCCTTCAGATATCTTATTATTGTTATTATTGTTTTGTTATATAATATCTACTCAATTTACATAATTACTTTAATGTAATTACAAAACTAATGAATCCTTAATTCTAATGAATTATCTGGTGAATTTACATTTGACTTTCCCAAATGTTCTTTTTTTGCCTGCACTACTAACTTTCTGATGTGAAGCACCTCATGGAACTCACTCATGTTTAGCAGGCTAAAAATTCTCCACAAGGGGGTGCCACTAGCAGAACAATAATAAAGTAACAATCATTTTCATCAAATTCGAATCATTTCCCCTCTTCTTCTTAGAAACAGGAATGTGGTGTTGATTCAAAGTTTAGGATCTTCCACAGAATTGATCTGCTTGTTTCAATGATCTACATGAGTGAGGAACAATTAATCCAATATTATATCTTGCGTTTGTTATTGCCAGCAATAACTGTGATTTCTAATGGTTATGCTGCTAAAAGTCCAGCTGAATAGGTCTAAAATCACCACAAATATTCTGTTTGCAGTACCTTCTCTGACTCCACGAAGTGTGTGGCCACCCCTGCCCTTTGGACGTCTCGGCCTCTGAGCCGGAATCCAGTCAGGGCCAGAAACAGCCCCAGCTTTCCCTGGAGCCTCGGGAGGAAGTAGCCACCTCCGACGTCAGGGAATAACCCTATAACACACAAACAGAGAGCGTGAGGTCATCACAGAGTCTGAGCCGTGCACGCCGTGCCCTTTCTCATGTTGTTGAATCTTTCTTGAATTTGTAAGAGTGCTGCTTCCTCACTTGCAGTGCTGTAAGGAGCCTCTATAAACACACCGCTTTCAATATTGACAGTTGCAAAGACTCACTGGTCCTATTAATAATATTTGTACAGCATAATACACACAAAAGACCTCAAACAGTCCTCCATATGCACTGTGTGTTTATGATCTCAGTAAACAGCACACAAGATCTCGCTCGGTCACCACTTCTGGACCATGTCCAGAAAGCCAACGCCTAGACTAGACAACGCTCTCAAATCCCACCACAGCACAGAAATTAGGATTCATTTCCTCTCTCGAGTGTCTTGTACTTTTGGTGAGAAACACAGAGACAAATCGATTCAATTAAACGATGGAACAAACGAGCTCTGTTGGATGTACAGCCAAGGTCTTAATCAGAGCGTATTTCCTGATTAAAAAACTTACATCTGAGGTTTGTCAGAGAATAGTGTACGTTTTTAAAGCCTAACTGCTCAATTTGCAGGACAATTATACAATTTTCAAGCATATTTAATAATAGAATACTTCTCTTTTAAACAGTACAGGACAACCCAATTATCTCAAAGGTCAATGTGTTGATGTTTTTTAGCAACTGTGGCTGTAAAAATGGCATTCGCTCCATCACACAGCATGAAAGCCAGAGCAGACGCGGACCACCTCCCCCCAAGTTAGGATTAGTCCGCCTGACCTGATTTCAGGCTGCAAATGCAATATCATAAATGCAGATTATAGCTGCGTTGTTCACTCGTTCGCTTTGTCCCACACAAAGCATGATTTAAAGACACAAATACTCTTTAAGCCAAAGGGGGTGGGCAGCTATGGGTTCAGGTCGTGGGGGTGGGGACTGGGTTACCTTGGTTTTGGGGGGTGGGAGCAGCGTTTGGAAACCCAGATGGTTAAGAGTACGACTTAGGAGTAGGCAATATGACGACATAAATCATTATCATGATAAACTGTCACTATATATTTTTCTAAGTATATCATGGTAATCCAGATTTAGACCAATTAAAAGAGACTCTAAACAACAACCACCAGCACCATCAGTGTATAGTTAGGTCTGTCACAATCATGAAATTTTCGCTGATGAAGGTTTACCATTTAAATAATTGCAATTAACAATGGTTCAGTGTACACTTCATTTGATATTCATATTCATCAGTTATAACAGCTCACCGTTAACCTTTTTACTAAAGCGTTATAACTGTTGGCTGATGCTTTTTTTTGTTTACGACCTAATTAATAATCTAATTTTAAACTATTCATAAACGCCTTATAAGGGTAGTTTTATTCCAAACATCAACACCAAACATTACCCCCACCTTCTAAAGGTGCTATTAACAACCATCAAATAAACAAACATTACTCATCTAAAGATGTTACTGAACCGGTTAGTATATTTTCGTTTTTTAAGACCCAATAAATGCATTTTCTGCTTTATTTTGTTTACATTTATTTGCCTCAACCCAACTGAAAACACAACTCGTTTATATTCAGTTTGTTGTGAAGTAACTGTGGAAAATAAATGCGGTCAACTTAAATAATTGAGATCAACTGACATAATTGAGATCAGGCGATTACGTAATAACTCTGACATGCCTATGTATAATAAATGGATAAAAACAAGCAGCTGATTGGCTGTCAGCTCATTAAGCTATCACCTATAACTTATTTTTTAAAAGAAATTTCTTGAATTTTACTACTGTTCCTTCTTAAACACTTAATTAATATTTGGCCACATTCATGCATGACACTCAAACATCTGAGGCACTGAACAGCAGAGTCAGAGCTATATTTGTAAAAATCTGGATGCAGCCTGGAGATCATTGGCCAGATCAGACAGAATTATCGTTTGTATGCCTTTTGAGGCGGCTACATTCCGCGAGTGTTCCCAGCACAGCTTTGTAGGGGCACGAGAGATCCAGAGGCATGGGAGACATCAACAAGGATGTCTCAGAGTAAGACGAGCTGAGGGTGAATGAAACTGAGAGTAGCGTGTGCCTCGCATTCTGCGCATTTCATTACATCATGCCCGCTAACATTCGGCTAGCGTCGGTATATCCCATGACATGGCACCACATGACATTTCATCAGATTCTTTCACTATCACTACACAGTTAACTACAGCTGAAAGCTGATGGCTGAGGCTAACAGGCCTCTCTGGGTAATTAGAGATTACCCTAATGCCCTCTCCCCATTTGGTTGGGGTGAGATTCAGGGCAGAGACATCAGGGCCCACTGCCCTGTCCAGCAAATCAGTAGAGCTAGATGTACTCAGATCTAAGCCCAATTAGACACACCACTACTTGCGTCACCAATACTGTTCTTTTCAACACTTTCCACATGCATCCTGATGTGAGCAAACTACAACAGCAAGTTAACAATATGTTGAGGATGAAAAGCCATGACAGTCAATCAGGGCAGTGCTGATCAGGGCAGTGAACCTGACCACAACCAAAGAGGATTAGTGCTACAGGCAGGCCTCACACACAGCTTCTTAATGGCATTAACAGCTTATGGCCTTTGGGCATAGAGCCCACGTACACACAAGTACGTGTCCATGCGCATGCACATGTGCACTCATATGTCCAACCACACGCACATATCGCCAGCGTCATAAAAACATCTATCTATATTTAACTTTACAGGAAAACGTTTTTAACTTGTAATGTAAACAAATGTTACAAGTTTTTAAGGCTGGCCTGAACAGCCATTTACAGGCCTTGAATACTCACTGATATTTCAGAACAAGTACTTGAATACTTGTCCTCAAAATCACCCATTTAAGTTCCATAATTAATCATAATTTTTTACTATGTACGTTACCACAGTTCAGAACATATGCAGTGGGTGTCAACAATGTATTAACAGTCAGGCTGAAGCCCAGCTGCTCGTGCACTGTACTCTGTCAAATATATTATATATTATACACAGTATATTTATTTTTCATTGATCACAGCTTTTGTTTTAGTGTGTTTTAGTTAGTTGTTTTCACACTGCAAAATATGGTAGTCAAGTGAAAATAAATCTGGTTAACATATTGAGTCACAGTTCTACTTCAGTTTCTACCTCAGGTTCGGATCATCCCATTGGTTTTATGGGCATGTGCCCAGGGGCCAAGCCACTAGGGGACACCTGCAAGCAATTATGAGAAAATCTAAACAGCTGTTTTGACATACAGTGAAAACTTTGCTAAGAGCACCATCAAAAAAATGAACTAATTTAAGCCTTGTTGTTGTGTTACGGGCAAACATAACCCTGCTGCTCTCCATGTCTTTCCGAAACGTCCACTTAATTTCTCCTCCAGCTGCCATTACCTCGGTCAAGCTTTCAGGTTATTTTTAGCAGTAAGCAGCATGTAACTGTACTTTGAACTTGAAGCAGCACCTAATAAAAAGATGTGCAGAGATCTGCAAAAGAGAGACCATTTCCAAAGCCAAACCCAAGACAGCTAAAGGTGAAAGGAAAAAGTTGCTGCATCGTTGCCTGCAGTTGTTTGCAGTCTACAACCTGTCTACTTCCATGCATAAAGTCATCAAAGGTAAGACATAAATGGGAAAAAAACATTTTACATGCCTGTCACGGCAGTACGCTTTAGCTTGCTTAGTTCCAGTTTTTGAGTTTGTTGGTTTTGTTTTTTCTATCTTAGTTATGTACATCTTAACAGTTTGATTTAGTTGTTGGGTCTATGCTAATCTGTGTTCCTCTTAATGTGTGCACATCTCACTATTTGTTTGTTTTGTAGTGTTATCGGGTATTGGATATAACTGCACTGCTGTCTTGTCAGAAATAGGCTATAGCCTCTTGCTATGACATAGCAAGACACAGCATGTTTGGAAAATGTATTATTTGGCAACTTACGATTGTCTTTATGCAACAAGGGAAAGTCAACACAGTTCCCCCTGGATGTCGTCAAATTCACAAATGTATCATACCTCATATTATAATGGAAATATCTAATTCAAGAGGTTTGTTTCTAGAACCACTTGATTATAGTCTTGCATACTGCAAGCAACAGATTATACAGCTTGATCAGAACATTTAAAAGCATTCTTTACAAAGATAAACTAAATAAAATAAAAATAAATAAATATGCATTTATAATGGTCACATCCCCAACACTTAGTATGCTGCCGTGATGCTGTTGTGATGCTGCCAATCCTTCATGTAACCTCCTACGTTATCATGAAAATTTCCATGACCACCAACAAAGGCAGCCGAAGTAGAGGCTTTTAACACAATGATCCAGGCCTGACACACAAATTAACGCAATGAATGGGTACATAAGCAGAAACACACACAAAAGCATATGCCTTCATATATACTCTCCTATGCATTAATACACACACACTGGACGTGTCAGTGTGCTGACGAGCAGCAGCACTTCCTGCGGCTCTCTGTGCTCCTCAGGGAGCTCTCGCCCACTTCCTGATGTGAAGGACACTCACTGCTGCTTGGACGAGAACACCGCAAGGCCTTTCATTAAGACACAGCAGTGCATTTAAACAGTATTGCCATAACTTTGTGTGTGTGTGTGTGTGTGTGTGTGTGTATGTATGTGTATGTGTGTGTGTGTGTGTGTGTGTGGCGGAGGCTGGCTGAAGTGCAGTGCATTCATTGTATTGAACATGATTTCCACCACATCAAGGTTGCTGGAAAACTGTAAAGAGAGGAAGAGAGCTGTAAAAGCAAACAGAAAGCTCTCTATACACTCTCTGAAACATATTTCCTCTCAGAGTAGAAACACTGTCACTGTGGTGTAGAGGGAATTTTCAGTACTGACAGAAATGTTTAATGAAACATTCCTGATTAATAATCAATAAACTAAACATTAGCTAACTTGAGCATTTGGATATCTCCTGAAAAAAGGCAACATTGGGGATCAGGCTATAGACTGCATGTATTTGGGAT